CTTGGGTTTGATGGGTGAAAATGGTATGGTACCCCCGCCTGCGCTAACGGGATACGCTGGCGGAGTACCAGTGAAGGGTGATAGATGAGAATGAAAACAGGCCAGTTAGCCCATCATGATGAATTCATCAGGAATTAACCATGATAGTTTCCAGGGGGAACCGCGAGGAGGTCGACCTGGTTGGGTATATTGCTAGCAATAGGATTCTCAGTCTCCATTACTAACAATCCCTTTCCCCCCGGCAGTGGACGGTTAAAGGCTGACATGATAAAATACCACAAAGAACAGACATTTTAGGTAAATGTAAAATACAAACTAATATTAGTAAATATATACTAATAAATATTAATGTAATGTAAGTATATTCATAACCAGAACAAATTGTAAAATAGTGCCAACACCGTGGTGTGAGGACCTGGTGATCTGTAACACAGGTTTATCCTACTTCAGACACCAGTTCTTCACAATACATTAAATTATGTAACCTACAAAAATAAATGTATTAGAATATAATAGATGTACAACTGGTATTGTGAAGAGAATAAACTTTATTATTATTTTTAAATTTTACCAAAATTCTCATCTCCCCTCTTAAGGAGAGGAGATGGCAACTAACCCCCGGCAGAAGCACAGTCGGCCGGGGTTCAGGGCCCCAGGGAGAGAAACCGGCGTACAATGCGGGCAGAATCTAAGAGCACCGCTTTCTGCATCTTTCCCGGGAGTGAGCCGCCTCGGAATCCCAACCTTCTGAGATGTTGTTCCAGACTGGTTGGGATAAGACCGTTCACCGACATAACGATTGGGATGATTTCGGTAGATGTCACCCCCCACATTTCGGTCACCTCGTGAGCCAGGTCGAGATATTTTCTCTTCTTCTCGGTTTCGGCTTTCACGAGGTTCTCGTCATGCGGTATGGTGACATCCACCAAAAACACCCTCGAAAGTCCCCGGTCCATCACCACGATATCAGGTTTGTTCGCAAGAACAGTCCTGTCCGTGATGATGGATCGGTCCCAGTAGAGCCTGACGCTGTCGCTTTCGAGGACCGGCTGTGGCTCGTACTTATAGTACGGCAACCTCTCATTCGCGAGGCCGTACTTCAGAGCTAGCTCTTGATGGAGTATTTTGGCTACCTGGTTGTGCCTGTGCAAGTACTCTGTGTTGGCAAGAGCTGAACAACCCGAAAGCACATGTCTGAGTGACTCTCCGGGATGGCGACATGCTCGACAGATGTCCTCAGTGCCATCCTTCAGAATGTGCTTTCGGTAATTGTTCGTCTTAACCACCTGATCCTGTATTGCACAGACAAAACCCTCGGTCTCTCCGAAGAGATCACCGAACTGTAGCCAGTGCACGGAGGTCTTCGTGTTTACGTACGGCCCGTGAAGGGCTTTGAAGAACCTTCCGTGCAACTCCTTCTCTTTCCATACGGCCTCCCGCTGAGAGGTACCCAAGACTTCGGGTTTTCGCCAGTCCTCTTTAGCCAGAGAAAGAGGAGTGAATCCTTTGTCACATTCTATGACCTCTCTATGCAAACCCTCGTCTCTTTTCTCCAGAAAATATGTCCTGAGGCTGTCAATCTCGCGGTTGTGCATGGTCTTAACGCTTAACAAGCCTCGACCACCAGCTTTCCGCGGGATATACAGCCTCATGACTGACGATTTCGGGTGATGCATTCTATGGAGGGTCATAGTTGTGCGGACTTTCCGATCCAGGGCTTCGAGTTCGGTTTGAGACCATCTGAGCACGCCAAAAGTGTAAAGGAGTACGGGTATGACCCAGCCGTTATAAGCTCGGATTTTATTGGCGCCCGACAAAGAACTTTTCAGTACTCTTGTAAGGCGCGCAAAAAATTCCTCGCGGACTGACTGTTTCATATCCGTCTCCTTCACACCGATGTTTTGTGACATGCCCAGATACCGGTATGTTTCAGCCTCGGAGAGGGTTTTAATATTAGAGGGATCTGTGGCGATCCCGTCAGTTTGAGTGACCCGTCCCCTCTGCACATGGAGGACCGCGCACTTGTCTATTCCGAGCGCCATCCTAATAGAGCTGCTATAATCGTTTACGATATTTAGCAGCTCCGTCAGGCGTTCGACGCTCGGAGCTAGCAGTTTCAAGTCATCCATGTACAGAAGGTGAGACACTCGTGTACCTCCTCTCCGATACTGAAATCCAGTCCCCGAATTCTCCAGTAAAGTACTGAGTGGATTCAGGGACAGGCAAAACCAAAGTGGACTCAAACAATCGCCCTGGAATATTCCCCTCTTTATCTCTATCCGGTCAGCGGTATCCGTCAATCGCTCGCCCTGGATAGTCAGGATCGTCGTCCACTGCCCCATGCATGCCTCCAAGAACACTCGAACTGTACCGTCGATCTTGTACAGCTCGAGTATCCTCCGGAGCCATGAATGGGGCACGGAATCGAACGCCTTTTTATAATCTATCCAGGCGGCGGAGAAATTCCGACGGTTCCGCTTGACCACGTGGCCAGCGACAGCATCAATGAGGAGCAGCTCCTTCGATCCGCGGCTACCGCCCCTGCATCCGTTCTGAGCGCCAGATAGGATCTTATTCTCGTACACATGACGAGAGATCTTAGCGCTCAGAACGGATGTTAACGTCTTATATATTGTCGTAAGACAAGTGATGGGGCGATATTTAGATGGATCCGCGGTATCGTCCGTCTTAGGAGCTAAATGAGTGATCCCGGTTGTAAGGAAGTTCGGGAGCGTCCTGTTTTCGAGGGCACTCTGGAATTGCACGGCTAAGGTCGCATGGCTGGCCGAGAACGCCTTTAACCAGTAGTGCTGCAATCCGTCGATCCCCGGACTTTTCCAGTTCGGAGCCCGACGGATCGCGGCAACCACGTCTTCCTCCGTAATGGCAATGGCGTTCATCGGCGTTATTCGAGCACATGCTTCCTCAACATCGTGCATCCATGCGCCCTCCTCATGTTCCACAGGTTCAGACCACAGCTGTCTCCAGAAGGCGACGAAATTGGCTGTTTCGGGTCTTTGTCCTGTGGGCTGTAGTTTTGGGCGCTCCAAGTTCCTATAGAACTTCCGTTGATCACTCATAAAGAGGCGATTCTGTTGATACCTCTCAACCCTCTCAGAGTACCGTCGGAGTCGCTTCCCCCATGCAGCGATCTTCTGCTTCAGTTCATCTATGCGCTCCGTAAGTTTGTGCCCGAAGTCCGGCTGGAACAGACGTACCCCTGTCCCAGCAAAGGCCTCTTTTACGGAGCGCATAATTCTCGGGCGTGTGTTGCCCTCCCTGAAGCAGAGCAGTCTACCAATGAGGACTCTGGCCTGGGCGATCCGTCGTTCAATCCTTCTTTTCCAGGCTGGTTTCATATTATCCCTTTGGATATTACGTCCAGCCCGGGGCATTTTTGCGCCGGTATATCGGCATACTGCCAACGCAGCGCCAAACAGGATTGAACTCGTCTCTCCCAGGTCACCGCTGCCCTCAAGGTACTGAGGCAGCAGTCCATTTGTGGCCTCAATGGCATCCCGCGTCGCCACATTTGGATATATCCGGGGAAGCTTCGGTCTCTCTTCGAGGGGAGTTCTTCGGATCTCTAGAATCGCCTCCTCTAGTATGCTCCTCATATGCTCTATATCCTGGGAAGTTGTTCCGTCCGCATCCGCTTCTGAAAGCGTTTCGGCAACCACCTCTACGCTAGGTAGCACGTCTGAGATTGGTTGCTCTACGGTCGCGGAGTTTGCTTCTGGAACAACTTCACTTCGCAATCGTTCGAGTTCGGTCGCGCTAAACATACCAGAGCGCTGTATGTACCGAACTCTGTCGGCTAGGTTCTGTTCCGAGACGGTTAGATCCGGTAAAAGACGCAGAAACTCGCGGTGCATTACTGCCCGGTATCCTGTTCTGCCTGTTTCTGTCCCTGTAGCCCTGAAGAACGCACGCATGAGGTCCTCATTCATGGCTCTTGTCCACCTCATGCGACGTGTACCACCAGTGGCGGGCACCGATTGCTGGGCCTGTGACGGCCCTGCCGGCGCCAAGCCAGCTGATGTCGATGGCGAGGGGTCGGACCGGCCAGGTGGTGGGGCCGGTCGGCTGGCTCGCATTCTGCCGCGCCTACCGCCAGTTGTAGACGCGCCCCGGCGACCCCCGGGCAGCGACCCTATACTGTCTCCGTTATAATTATTCGCCATCTTTATTTTTGCCATTGCCCCTTTAGCCGCGTAGGTTTTATTTATACGCGTGACCGCCTTCCACGTGAGCTAGATGGTGAGCTCGGACGCGGGGTTGGACTTTGGAAGGCTTATTAATTATTATTATTATTATTATTATAAGTAAAGTATCATCAGCAAACAGTACTATATAGTGCCACCAATCAAACTTTATAATACTCTTCTCCATCCAAAGGTTGCCTGGAAAAGATCGCTTTTAGCGATAAGGCCGTCCATTGTTTTCCAAGTATAATATTTTCTTGTAATTTTTTGTATTTACAATTACTATTATAATATTTTGGAGGAAACAATAAAGAGTATCTACCTATGTTTACCTTCACCAGAGGGAGACTTTGTACAAAAGTCGATTGCTTGGGTACCTCTGTCCCATTCGTGTTTCAACCGTGAAGCAGTTGTGTTTGCATGGCTGTGTTTCAGTTTGAAGGGTGGGATATGGCGTGAATTTACTGGGTACAGAGAAATAACACCCGAGTCCTCAGGAATGGCAACGCATGGGGGGTATCATGGGCGAAACAGTATACTCTGTTATGTCCATGGTACTGCTCATGTCTATAGGCGACGGTTGCCACTTTCCACCAGGTGGACCGTCAGCTTGTTTGCCATTCTAAGTTGTATATAAAAAAAAAGTATATTCTCTATCTTTTCCACCATCTAACAAAATGACCACAACTTATTCATAGGAAAGGTAATTGTTCGAAACCATACTTGTAATTCACTCATTCATCAATCGTTCGTTCATTCATTCATTCATATATTGTAAATAATATTAATACGTACATGGCTAACATCTTCCTCGCTGTTAACTGCAAACGTTGCTGGTCCTCCGTAATCTGTTGACAATTAAACAGCTAAATGATTTAATCAAACACATGTTCCACATAGGAAACATTTACATGGAACAGTCTATAAAGATCTTAACCGTTTACTTATAGATATCTAAACATAAATACTTTATTTTACCAAAGTAAGTCAACGTCAAAAATATCAACAATAAAAAATATTATTTCTGATTTATTATTTAAAAAGTGCCCTGCTAGTGAACTCGAACGTTAATGATACAATATATTGCATATATGTATATCACTAAAAACTTTGCAGCTATCTTCATGTTTTGCTTTTTTTTTTATATACACTTGAGATTGCTTAGCGATAAGGCCGCCTTTGTATCACTTTTCATTAATATTTACTGTATTTGTTATTTCTCTTTTTACTTGGTGCAATAAAGTGTAAATAAATAAATACACATTTAGTTTTAGTAAATACACATTTACAGTTTTTAAATACATTTTTACTACCAAATCTAAATTTTCAGTAACAGCTTATCAAGAATATTACTGCATACGAGTAATTAACGTTTCAGTTCGCAAGCAAATAAAGTTTTTAAATAATCAAATAGAAACGTTGTATTATGTTATATTATTATTAAAAATTGACAGATAATTTCGATGTTGCCATACTTCGGTAAGCTAATGTTATGAAGGTTCTTAAGTCTTTTGCAGCGGAACCGGATATCGTCGTTCATCTAACACACATTATGTCGAGTTAGCACAATCATTCACATTAGGGATTCATGTGTATCGACATATTAATGGACAACTCGATATCGATAATTGTTGCCGCTTGCCGCACTTGGCTGTTATAATATATTTATATAATGCCTTATGTTTAAATAATTTATGTACATACATACATGTCTATATACATATATTTAAATATTAAATATAATAAAATATTATATAATTGGAAGTATTTATATATCAGCCAATGTTATATTATATATATACACTACATAGACACGAAGAAGTGTTAAAGCACTATATCGCCAAGATTCGTACGTATGAATAAATTCATATATTTATTTAGCTCACAACTTCAAGAGAACAGAAGTAAATATTTCACAATTTGTTACAATATTCTTTCTTTCTTTATTCTTTATTGTACACAAAACATACTGTTAATCACAATTCATTATAAACATAATGTACAAGGGCGAGCTTATATCTAATAAGAGATTTCTTCTAGCAAAACCTTTTCATGTAGATTGTGTTATTTTAAAAATATTTTACTAACGTACGGCTTTATAGTTTTTTTTTTTTTTATTATTACATACAGCCCATTTTTTTTTTGATAATATAGTTTGATAATATAGTTTTATATTTTTGTTTTTAAATTGGCTAAGTATTTATTTAGTATATCTTTTACAAAAAAAAATCAAAACTGTACATTTCCGTGACTCACCTTGGCCGCCATCTTGTACCGTACGTACGGTATGAGTTTGATCCGACTGTGCTTGGCGAGTGCTTTCATCACGTCCTTGGCTTTCTTGCGGTTGCTGAGCGCCACCAGCGCAGACGTGTCATTGAGAAACTGCACCGACACCGCACCTGACACGACAGATTGTGTTATAATCAATCTATATGCATATATTAACATTATCATAACAGCCGTTACCTGTCCACCGCTAAACTTAAGTCTCTCCATATTTTTTTTTTTTGATGGGTGAAAATGGAATGGTAACCCCGCCTGCGCTAACGGGATACGCTGGCAGAGCACCAGTGAAGGGTGATAGATGAAAATGAAAACAGGCCAGTTAGCCCATCATGATGAATTCATCAGGAATTAACCATGATAATTTCCAGGGGGAACCGCGAGGAGGACGACCTGGTTGGATATATTGCAAACAATGGGATTCTCAGTCTCCATTACTAACAATCCCTTTCCCCCCTGTCTCCCCATATTAGGGAGTTTTGCCAATAGTTGCCATGCTTAGTAAGCGAGCTGGATAACCGCAGTAAGGCTTTGATGTTTTAAGAGGGACGCTACAGATCATCCCACGACCATAAAGATCCTTTTGTCGCCTCTTACAACGCCCACAAGAAAGGTGGCCTATTCTATGCCGAAACTACATGTCTAATATAAAATAATATAATATATATTTAGACTTTTAAATTATACCCATCTGTGTATTTGTTTCAGTTGTCTATTTTTATTTATTTATTTATTTATAAATAATGGAAAGTGGTAACCATCGCCTTTAGACGTGAGCAGTACCATGAATATAACAGAGTATACTGTTTCGCCCATGATACCCACCCATACGTTGCCATTTCTGAGGACTCAGGTGTTATTCCTCCGTACCCAGTAAATTCACGCTATATCCCACCCTTCAAACCGAAACACAGTCATGCAAACACAACTGCTTCACGATTGAAATACGAATGGGACCTCTGTACCCAAGCAATCGACTTTTGTACAAAGTCTCCTTCAGGTGAATTGGTGATGTGGATCACCTTCTTCTGCACCGTGGGAATTTGAAGCAGCGCAGGCGGAGTTAGTATTCCATTATCGTATCATTAAAAAAAAATATAACCATATGCTAGATTACCACCTTTGTTTTATAATAAAAAAAAAAACAAACTTACCATATGGACTGAAAAGCTGATTAATTTCATTTCGCTGCCATTCTTTAGGAAATGTGAAATAAAACACGTGGTCCCTTGATGGGTTTGCTGTAAATAAAAGACAAGTTATACATCTACACGAAACAGTTGTAGATAGGAGTACTTTGTTAAAGCAAATACTTGCATATCAACATCCATTGAAAAAATATGAATACGACTATAAATCCCAATGGGATAATCAGAGGCATTTGTCAACTGCAGTCGTTAGGGGGAAAGGGATTGTTAGTAATGGAGACTAAGAATCCCATTGCTAGCAATATACCCAACCAGGCCGACCTCCTCGCGGTTCCCCCTGGAAACTGTCATGATTAATTCCAGATGAATTCATCGTGATAGGCTAATGGGCCTGTTTTCATCCTCATCGATCACCCTTCACTGGTGCCCCGCCAGCGTATCTCATTAGCGCAAGCGGGATTACCACTTCTTTTTCATCCAATAAAAAAAAAACTGCAGTCGTTATGGTGTATATAATACATATGTTTACATTTCGTCTAACATATTAGAACCCAATGTAACATCTATATATTGATATCTTCAAGACGTTGAAAGTGGAAAGCGGTCATCACCCATTTCAATATCGGTCGGATATCTATTTTTGATTGATTTTAGAATGGCAAACAAGCTGACGGCCCACGGACGGAAAGTGGTAACCGTCACCTATAGACATGAGCAATATCATTGACATAACAGAGTATACTGTTTCGCCCATGACACCCCCCATGCGTTGCCATTCCTGAGGACTCAGGTGTTATTCCTCTGTACCCAGTAAATTCACGCCATATCTCACCCTTCAAACCGAAACACAGCCATGCAAACACAACTGCTTCACGGTTGAAACACGAATGGGACAGAGGTACCCAAGCAATCGACATTTGTACAAAGTCTCCCTCTGTCGTTCTAAGGCTCACAAGAAAACACTAGATTAAAAACTCACGGTCCTCGCCATTCAAGTTCATATAGGGCGTATCCTGGTGCGCAGTCTTGGAGAGGTATAACTTGTCGAGGAAGGGGCGCAGCACCGGCGAGCCGTCGGCGGAGACGCGGACGCCGCTCTCGCCTCGCATTCGCGCTAAGTGCGCCTGCATCGCCAGGAAACACATGCCGGTCACGTACGCATCGTAGCCGGCCTCGTGCTGCTTATTGTCCGCGTGGCAGTAGCCCCGGCCCGGGGACGACACTGTCCAAGACACATTCAATATGTACAGAATGAATATTTAAAACTTATACGAAAAAAAATCTACTTCAATCGTGGTAAAACCAATTATATTTATTTAAAAACTAAACGAACCGACCGATTTTGATAAAATTTCTATGGGAAACAATTTAAAAGTATATCCTTTCAGGTAAAAAGAGAATTTTCTAAATCAGTTTATAAATGACGGAGTTACAAAAGAACAAAAAAAAAATAACCGAATTGAGAGATTCTCTATTCCTTTTTTGAAGCCAGTTGAAAGTTAAACATATTTGTCCACTGTTGAACATAAGCCTTTTTTGTTTTTAGCCAGTAGCTGCCACACTTGGCAGTTGAGTTGGCAACCGCAGTTAAGTTTTGGAGGTGTTTTAAGAGGGACGCTGCTGCCCATCTCTCGCACTCCCTTAGGCGTCTCTTACAACGCCACGGGAAAAGAAGGAGTGATTTATTCTATGCCGGGACCACACGGCCATATTGTATACAATTCAATAACGGACTAATGATGTAATGTCAATAGTTGCCTTTAACATTTTTTTTTATACAACTTAGAATGAATTTAGGCAACAAGCTGACAGCCCACCTGATGGAAAGTGGTAACCGTCGCCTATAGACATGAGCAGTACCATGGACATAACAGAGTATACTGTTTCGCCCATGATACCCCCCATGCGTTGCCATTCCTGAGGACTCAGGTGTTATTCCTCTGTACCCAGTAAATTCACGCCATATCCTACCCTTCAAACCAAAACACAGCCATGCAAACACAACTGCTTCACGGTTGAAACACAAATGGGACAGAGGTACCCAAGCAATCGACTTTTAAAAATATAAACCTATAATTTAGATATCACATACCCACTTTTGGCAATGAGAACGGTGGCTCCGATAATGTTGCGTACAGATGCTGCAGTACATTGGAGGGCACCTCTTCTTTGAAAGGTGGCATGCTTGACATGTATTTTGTATCTAGTAATCTGGAAATAAAGTCTATTTTATAACTAACCGTACAAAGCTTTGTCTACCCATGGAATCGAAATAGACGTCTACCAGAATTCTAGCTGCTAAGTTTTAAATTAATTATTGTAGAATATATATTTTTTTTTTTATTCTACAATAAATCAGCGAGCAAATATAACAGTATTTGGTAATTTCATCTAAACTAAAGGGAATTTATTTGATTTTTGGTTTGTAATAGATAATATCAAAAAATACTTAAATTAATTTTAAAAATTCTTTATCTATAGAAATCTACATAAAGCTACACACTACGAGTAACATAAATTTATATATTTTATAACTGTATTTATACCAGGACCAGTTAGTTTTATCGAAGCTTATTTTTTACGTACGAGATTGATAACCCACTGTTGTTGTAATGGATAATAATGGAATGGCCACCTGCGTTAACGGTATACGCTGACGGGACACCAGTGAAGGTTGATAGGTAAGAATGAAAAGGCAGGTCAGTTAGCCCATCGTGATGAAAACATCTGATTTCAGCACGATGGTTTCCAGGGGGGAGGAGGGGCACATGGAAGGCGATCTTACAACATATATTGCTAACAATGGGACTGGTAGCCTGCATTACCAACAACCCCCCCCCCCCTGCCCCCTTAATAACCCTAACGTTGTTAGGCATATGTCCCTTTAAATTCTGCCTGTAATGATCTTCTATGACTTACTATATAAGTTATAATAGACTTTATTCTATTTGCTACCTTTGCAGCATTAAAAAAAGCTCACACCTGGGAAACATGCAATGTGCAAACTCCTTGAAAGAAGCATAGTCTTCCGGTAAAGGTTGGAAAAAGTGATTGAGCGTGTGAAGAACATCTAGTATCATGTTGTGTCCCACCAATAGCTTTCTCTGAAACAATACAAGAAATATAAATAAATAAAATCAACTGACGCTCGCGTCACCAGCAAAAGTTATGGATCGAACAAAATATGGCAGCGTGACGGGTCTTTGAGTTCCCTAAAATATGCCTATAATAATATTATAAATTAAAAATATAAAATACGCCTAAAATAGGCGCCATGATGACTAGCTCATCCGTCACACTCGTGAACGGGTGTGGTGTTTGTTTATTTTCCATTTAATAATACATATAAATAGAATTTAATTCTATTTATAGTCACAGTACCCATGCAAATGTAAAATTATCTTGTAAATAATTTGAAAAGAGAAACTATTATCTTGCGAATTCTTCTCACCAGATAACATCAAAAACCCAGCAATACAATCATAAAAAATTGAATATTTAAGAGCTTGTAAACAAATAAAATTATTTCTATTCTATTCAAATAATTACTGTTTACAAAAGCAATAAAATACCAATGCGTAAATACGAAAACGATTTTATTCCATTTCACTTGTTTAAACGTATTTTTTTTTAATGGATGACAATGGAATGGCAACCCCACCCGCGCTATCGGTATACACCGGCGGGGCACCAGTGAAGGATGATAGGTGAGAATGAAGTAGGTCAGTTAGCCCATCGTGACGAATTCAACAAGAATTGTTCACGATGGTTTCCAGGAGGAACCACGTGGAGGTCGACCTAATAAGGCATATTGTTAGCAATGGGGCTGTCAAACTCCGTTGCTAACAATCCCTTTCCCTCCGTTTAAACGTATTATCTATACCTATTTATATTTATTAATATTGTACATGAGAGCTTGACCTTCGATTATGATTATACACAGTATTGTGCAATAAACTATGTGATAGACGAGACAGTATGCGTACGAAACTGCCAGGTTACTAGCACATTGACAAATGTAAAATTAAGTAATTCTGTTACTTATAAATAAATAGAGTAACTAAATAAGCCAGTCCATAAGAAAGAGTCGACACCTCTGTCGCTCCCCTCTCGCGGGCTTGGAGTGCCATCTGCACTCGCCCCTGCATTCGCGTCCGGTGAAGCTGTAAAGGCCACCCACGGCCAATAGCAAACACGCTCAGAAAAAAAAAAAAAAAAAAAAGAACTAAATAAGCATGAAGAAAACTAGATAGAGGAACGACCTCAAATGCATTGTAGTGAGTCAGTGGAAGCAGGTGACCTATATCAGCAGTGAACAGATAATGCCTGAGGTGATGGTGATAATGATAAAATAAAATGGGATAAAGTCGATTACTTTATACATACATGAGACATGTAAAAAAAATGTAGAATCAGTATAACTGTTCTATGATGAAATACTGAACGGTTTATTCCAGATTTGTATGATTTCCTATTAATGGGTATAGACACTTAGTATATATTTAAGAAACATTAATATGTATAAAAAATAACTCACTGACTCGCTGATCATTTGGGCAACTTTAGAGAATCCTACAGCATCTTCTAACTCCTCCCATTCCTTCTTTGTTTTTTGCTCAATTTTACTTGAACTGTGATTTTCAGATGTCAACCGTGTTACTACTATAACTCTAAAAGATAAAAGTTATTATTACAAGTAAAGTCTAGTAGGAAATAATGTAGTAGGTAAAATAACTGTGTTTCTAAATATTTATAGTAATCAGTTAACCTGTTAAAGCACCAAGAGGTAACAAACAAACTCACTTTCACATTTTTTTTATAGGACTTAGAATGGCAAACGAGCTGACGGCCCACCTGATGGAAAGTGATAACCGTCGCCTATAGATATGAACAGTACCATGTACACAACATAGTATACTGTTTCGCTCATGATACCCCTCATGCGTTACCATTCCTGAGGACTCAGCTGTTATTCCTCTGTACCCTGTAAAGTCACTGCCATATCCCACCCTTCAAACCGAAACACAGCCATGCAAACACAACTGCTTCACGGTTGAAACACGAATGGGACAGAGGTACCGAAGCAATCGACTTTTGTACAAAGTCTCCCTCTGGTAAATCTATAATCCTTTACTGTACCCTCGCGGTACCCCGTCAGGCTTGCAACACAAAACCAAAACACAGCCATGCAAACACAACTGCTTCACGGTTCACAGAGGTACCCAAGCAATCGACTTTTGTACAAAGTCTCCCTCTGAATCTCACAGTATTAGTAATGTTATAAACCTTATTTACCTATATTAATTTGAAATTAAATTAGTTAATATAATGTCAAATTACTTATACAATTGAATACTATTCAGAATGTTTTTGTAATTTAATAATTATTTATAAAGTGCTGTACAGACAATAAACTTTTGTCTGTACAGCTCTTTATATTTTATCTTCTCCTTGAGAACAAAAGTCAATATAACTCTTACCAGAGATGGATATAATTTTTAACTAATATGCAAATTTACATATTCCAGATTGATTTGACTGATAAAATTATGCTATAGATTATCTTTCATTTTACAGCATTTTACCAAAGGGAGACTTTGTACAAAAGTCGATTGCTTGGGTACCCCTATCCCATTTGTGTTTCTACCATAAAGCAGATGTGTTTGCATAGCTGTGTTTCGGTTTGAAGGGTGAGATATGGCGTGAATTTACAGGGTACAGAGGAATAACATCTGAGTCCTCAGGAATGGCAACGCATGGGGGGTATCATGGACGAAGCAGTATACTCTGTTATGGCCATGGTACTGCTCATGTCTATAGGCGGTTGCCACTTTCCATCAGGTGGGCCGCCAGCTTGTTTGCCATTCTAAATTGTATAAAAAAAAAACTGCGGGCCTTAGAGATCATGTAGCATACCTGTCCTTATTTTCTAATGTTCTAGAGTCAACAAACACCTCGTCTTTAAACTTTTGGCCCAACTCCTGGAATAGCAGCCGTCTGATGAATGGGTTGCACCTATCTATCACCATCTCACTCTCTTCACTCTTATTTACAAACTGTTTCACCCTTTCACTGAAAAAAATAGAAATTTAAACAATTTTAGACTACTCTAGTAACTGTGCATGAGACTGGGACATATTTATTGACCAAGATTAAATATAGCCTGTGTGCTTATTTGACCTATATACTATTTACAATGTAAGACTTTGTACAAAAGTCATTTTGGGTACCTCTATCCTATTCTTGTTTCTGCTGTAAAGCAGTTGTGTTTGTATGGCTGTGTGTTTTTGAAGGGGAGGACATGGCAAAGAAATTACAGGAACCACAGACATTACACCTTAGTTCTCAGGAATGGCAATGCAAACATCTATAGTACTATTTATGTCTATAGTAGACAGTTACTATTTTCCATCAGGTGGACCATCAGTTATAGCAATTGATTTCTACATATACTACATGTACTAATCTATTAATATTATAAATATTAAAGTTTGCAAAGATGTTTGGATGTTTGTTACTACATCACATTTAAACTGTTAAAAACATTTAAATTTTTGACACAGATAGATCACATCATTAACTAATATATAGGACACTCATATTCCAATTCAAGCAGACAGGATACAGCAAATTTTAAATTATTTTATAAATTTAATTGTACTGTGTATATATTAGTTATGTATTACTTGCCATATGGTCCCCACATAGAATGGGCCACCCCTTTCTGTCCCATGGGTCTAGTAAAAGGCGACTAAGAGAATTTGAAAATGGTTAATTAATGGGCAACAGCATCCCTCTTAAATTATCAATAAAGCCTAATTACAGTTACCAATCCACCACAATAACACCAATCCACATATGGGGAAAGGCCTATCAGTGAACAACAGTCACTTCTAGCAATGAACAGTTAATGGCAGATATAATAAACTAACCATATATCTCGTATTTGCTGCTTATGTTCCTGGGGTATTGGGATTAATTGCTTAGCTGAATTATAATTTTTTTGTTTCTCCAGAAGTGCCTCACGCAACCTGCTCTCAACGGGGCCAGTCATGTATGAAATACCTACAAATGAAAAAAATAATATTGATCAACCCAATTTAATAATCACATATTTTTGTAATTAATTTTAAATAAATAATACCTAAACATTGATTAAAAAAAAATAGGTTTATATTAAAATAAAAACAGTTACATAATTGAAGATACTTATTAATAGAGATTACAATTCTTAGAATTTTACCAGCATCAAGTCAAAAATTAAAATGACACAAAGAAAAAAGGAATACTAAAGGGCAAGCAAAATACTAGAAGCATGTCGCTTGCTAAAATATACTCACCATCTCTAATCAACTTATTGAAGTCAAACCCTTGAGTTGCCAAAAAGTCAAGGCTAGAACTTTGACAAAGAAACATTTTCTCCGGCCCAGGTCTTCCACGAGGGAACAAATAAAAATTATATGCTTCATTGACATAATGATTTTCCGCTTCATCAAAGCAAAAGGCGCATAATCCGAACTGAATAAGTAAAAATTCGGAGGAACTATTCAAAACCTTTGTATAATATTCAGCTGGTGTATCAAACATTGACAATTCTCTACCATTCATAAGACCCGTAAACTCCGTATCTATTACCAAGAAGTCCGATCTCTGTATTGATGCTTTAACAAGCGGGAGCGTCTCTTTAAAGTCTGAAAATGATTATAATAAATACTACAGATTAGTTTTCGTGAGAATATATAAGATGATCAGTAACTTTAGGATAAAAATCTTACTTTTTCGAGTCACCTCCATCGTTTCCTAGCCGTACAACACGTTTTTATCAACTAACCAGTAGCAGAAGAATACATAAAACTATTATTTGTTTAATATATACTTTAACGAATACGTCTTATTTTCTATTTTATTAAATATGCCTTTCAAAGGGGAACTGAAATTAAATAAAAAATAGAAACATTCAGATAATAACCATATTAAAAACATACCCACAACAGACTATAGATTAATAAGTGAAGAACTTTTGGAGTTTCGGTACTGAATACATTGACCTATGTTTAGTCATGGATTGAGAATCATTATTTTGCTCATCTCAACAATATTATAAAAATTAAAATGTCAGGTACAACTCTATTAGTACATATACTACATATTCAAAGATTTATATAAAAAAGAATAGTGAACCCCATTTCTATCCTACATGTAGCAATAAATGCATATCTTAGATTATATTACGTTATACTATGTCAGTGATTCATATTGATTTCTTTGATCTTCTACAAAGCTTTAACAGCTAAATCTATTTAATACTTGCACTGCATCGTATACTATAGTAGTTGTATGATAGTCATATTATAGTCAGACGTCTGTCACTGTTTGTGGCATAAGAAGCAACACTAGGCCCATAAAAAAAATAGTTTGTCGTCATGGAAACATACTTTTGTTTACTACTAATAATTTTAATTCATTCTAGATCATTAATTTATGTTTTGTCAATAATCACACCAAGCTAGGTTCCTAAAAAGTGATAATTATGGCAGAAATGAACACAAATCTTCAAGATAACCCTCGTGGTGCTTTAGAAAAGCATATAAATGCTTTGCAAAGTGAATTAAAAATGACAAGAAAACAAGCTTTAGTAAATATAAATAAGGAAATATTTGAGAACCCTGCAAATAGTGACTGCGACTTGACTGTTGTGTTTCCTGAAATATATGCCTATATTCTAAAAAGTTTTTCTGACCAGTCTGAGGCATGTCGAGAGTACGCTGCGTTAATTATTTCCAACTTTATAGAACGGTTGCCTTTAAATGACTATTATTTAACTTATATTTTACCTGTACTAGTTCGACGAATTGGTTGTCCAGAAATAGTTGAAGAATCCGAAGAAATTCGTTTAGTATTAATCGAACTTGTTCACAAGATATTGGACAAGTATAAAGTACCTCACCTTCTTAGTCCATTCATTAATGACTTCACAAGTATTCTAACAAAAACAAGCACTGATCCCTTTCCGAAAGTAAAGCTTGAGGCATGCGAATGTATAATTTTATTAACGAAATTGATAGAAAGAGACTTCCACTTTCAATCAGAGAGTTATGTAAAGCCAGTTTTATCTAATTTTGCTCATCAGCACTTTAGAGTTCGAGTTGCAGCAATTAAAGCCATAGGTATTTTTATTTTTTTACTTTCTTATTAAATTTTAACTGGGCTCATAACTTGATGTTTAGTATCGACAGCAAACTGCATATTTTGTTTTTTTTTTTGATGGGTGAAAATGGTATGGTAACCCTGCCTGCGCTAACGGGATACACTGGTGGAGCACCAATGAAGGGTGATAGATGAGAATGAAAACAGGCCAGTTAGCCCATCATAATGAATTTATCATGGTTGGGTATATTGCTAGCAATGAGATTCTCAGTCTCCATTACTAACAATCCCTTTTCCTCCCATATTTTATGTTTATGATGTTTTATCATGACATTTATATAGAGAGAATATTTTTCTGACATACAATTGTATTTTATTTTTCTGTTTCACCAAGAATGCTACTAGACAGCAATTTTACAAATCAAGTACTCAGTTTAGTATACAGCACTATGAACTTGAAACTTGAAAGAATTTTTTTTTAATTGACCACTGTCTGGAAAGCAGTTTTACTCAAGAAACTGCTGCTCTTTAGAAACTGAAGTTTGAATTTTAGGATTTTGTGCGAGCCTATTGAACCTCAAAAAGAAAATAATTTTCTTTTACTTTCTGTAGGAGCTATTGTTCTTGCTGGTAATGCAAAATGCTTTGAGCTATCGATCACACCAATGGCTGAGAAACTGTTTGATGAAAACACCCAAGTGCGACTGCAGGTGACACTGGAAGTTGGTAACTGGGTGCTCAATTATAGAGATCGATACTCATTCTGGCACCGCATGATACCACTCTTGCTAACAAGGTAAATCAGTGAAATTTAGTCAAGACATAAGTTTAATAAAAATATATTTAAGAAAAACCCTTGCAAAATTTTCACTTAATCATTTTAATAAAGTTTAGCTTTTTTTTGCTCACTCACTAATTGTCTGGACTGTACCTAATATCATTATCAACATCATCATATGAGTCATTAATTGTCCACTGCTAAACATAGATCTCTTCCACAAGTGGGGTTTTGCCAGTAGTTGCCATGGTTGATAAATGGTGGTTTTTTGGTCATGATTTAAGAGAAAGTCGCAGATAAAAACTTGAAAATTCACAGTGTGAATACTAACTACATAATTTATTTTAAATACGCTATCAGGATATAACGTGATGAAAAATTTTTGCAGATAAATAGTACCTACATACTTCTTTATTGCCGACGTTTCGACATGGATTGCACCATGTCGTGATCACAACAGGACAAAGTCCTGACAGTGTAATTTTAAATATATGTAAACAACGCGAAAGTTTAAAATTAACTAACTACATATATACGACTAGCCCGAAGGATAAGCAAGCTAAAGTGGCAATGGGCTGGCCGGCCACATAGCTCGAAGAACCGACAACCGATGGGAAAGAAAGATTCTTGAGTGGCCACCACGTACGGGTACGGGTACGGGCTCAGGACCGTTCTTTATGGCAGTCTATGGGAGAGGCTTATGTCCAGCAGTGGACGGATAATGGCTGAAATAATGATAATAATATATCTGACTAAGTACATATGTCTAATAATACATTGAAAATATATTAACTTAGCTCAATTTTTTTAGCCTAATTTGGGATTTTTGTTTAGCCTTAGTGATGTAATGGCCGATGTCCGAGAGACAGCCACAAAGCTCTGGACTGATATAGGCCTTCAATACATGGAGGAGAATGAGGAAGATTTGAAAAAGAAAGCAGATTTCCTCAAGGATGTTCCAACCCACTACCCAGATGTGAAACGACCCAATCTTGGCTGCAGAGTTTTGGTGCAGAGTAACATTGGGAAAATTGTACCTGCTATTGGTCGAGGTATCTATGTATAAGAGGAGACATGGCTGATTGTAGAAATGTAAAATTTTATATAAGGTTTCCTTATTATAACTGTTACTGAGCTCAAAGATTTACACGCACCAAGCTCCGAGAAATAGCTTGTACATAATGTAAATAACAACAACCCCGGACACTTCATAAAAAATTATAAGGGTCATCTATTAATACTAAAAATTACAAAACATATTACACATAACACAGACTCTTAAATTATTACTTTTAAGGATAAAGGAACACCTTAGCCCTTAGTAGCCAGAGCATAGCATTCCATTTAACTCAGTCATTGGTCATTGCACTGTGTACCTTACAGATCACTTCCAAATCTAGTTTCGGTTTGTAAAGGAGTAACTACTTCACAATCGGGGGGAAAGGGATTGTTAGCAATGTAGTTTGACAGCCCCATTGTTAGCAATTTGCTCTATTAAGTCGACCTCCACGTGGTTCCCCCTGGAAACCATCGTGAACAATTCTTGTTGAATTCGTCACGATGGGCTAACTGACCTGCTTCATCCTCACCTATAATCCTTCACTGGTGCCCCGCCGGTGTATACCGTTACCGCGGGTGGGGTTACCATTCCATTATCATCCATTAAAAACAAAACTATTTCACAATCATATCAGGTACATAGCAAAGAAAATAAAAAAATATATACTATTTATACTTAGATTATATAGATAGTGTCTCCATACAAATGCTTAAAAAAAAACGATTCAACTTTTTCATACAATTTTGCGTGATAAATAGTCATGAGTGATCCCTTTATAACTTCTATATTAATTTTGTAATATAAATTCTGCACCTTTTTAATACGCGAAAATTAAATTTATTTATTAAATAAATATAGCTACGTTAAAATAGATTGTTTGCGTAAATATATAGAACATTAAATAAAAAAGACGAGTAAGCTAATTTAACAATTAGTTGAACAAAAAGTTGACAAGTTTTTGAGATTCAATGCTCTATCTATATAATCTAAGTATTTATAGTACGAAATCTACAGATCTCGATTTCCCACAGAAATGGACGGGTGGCAAGCGGATGCACGCCTCCGTTCATCCCAGTTGCTGTGCTGGTTGCTTTTATGCGCTGAAGAGGGCGCCACTCAACACGCCAACACGATCGTACGCACACTGATACGGGGTGCAAATGATGATGACCCCAGAATTGTTACTGAGGTAATTATCGAATGTTTAATCTTTCTGAAAATATTCATGAAAAAGTAAAGTAAAGTAAGTAACAAGTACCAACATGTTGAAAACATTTTTATTTAGCACATGGAATCGTATGATTAAACTTCGATTCAAAACAAGCAGTTTTATCTTTGTCTCCGTCTAATATTTTCTATTGTCAAGCAATTTGCTTGCATACTATAATAAAAAATCATCCCTGATTTCGATGTTTGTTTAATGGGTGAAAATAGAATGGTAGCCCCGTCTGCGTTATCGGCTGCAGTACCGACCTTGTCGCCACTCGTACCCTAGCGGCGACCAAGTCCAAAAGGAACGTACGGCCAATATTCCCTCTGTTCTCGTCCTCTTCTTTTTGTCATTGATAATTCCGATCTATGGTGGCAGATTAAGCAAACCATATTCTTGCACTCATTATTTATGAAACCCAGGATTTGGACTTATAAAATCAAGAAAAACGCAAGAAATCTAACGAAGTCTGAGGTGGTACATAATTGACTGTTCAGATCAAACGCGCGTCTGAGCTGCTCGGCTACTTCATCACTCCAGACACATGGTGGCCGCTGCTGGAAGCCGACGTGGACTCCTGGCCCGCGCTCCTCGTCATTGCCAACGTACTGAAGGGTTCCCGCGCGGAACTCGTCACCGGAAAGGTGATGGAAGAGCTATGCAAGGAGATCGCTGATCCCGATAGGTGCAGAATGAGAAAGGTAGCTATTTGTACTATATTAATATATTCAGTTGGATGCTATTTCATATAAATCCAATTTTTTTGGGGGGAAGGGATTGTTAGTAATGGAGACTGAGAATCCCATTGCTAGCAATATACCCAACCAGGTCGACCTCCTCGCGGTTCCCCCTGGAAACTATCATGGTTAATTTCTGATGAATTCATCATGATGGGTTAACTGGCCCGTTTTCATTCTCATCTATCACCCTTCACTGGTGCTCCGCCAGCGTATCCCGTTAGCGCAGGCGGGGTTACCATACCATTTTCACCCATCAAAAAAAAAACTGTTTCACGTTTATAATATTATTAGTAAGGATGTTACGTTCTGTCCTTCAGGCCAAATATCAAACGAGTCTGCTGCACGTGACCGAAGCCCTAATGCAGCTATGCGGCGATGCGTGCGCACCGGTGTTCGACCAGCTGTTCACCGTTTGCTTCACCGTGTACGCGATGCCGGTCGACGATCACATACAGCTCATGGCACTCTGTAAGTAGAAAAGTAATCAAGGGCCAAGAGAGCGTTTAAGCCTGTTTTCCAGGGTTCTGTACTGTCCATAGCAATCAATGTTTTAGACAAGTGACAAGCAAATTCATTAAAGGAATCGAAATTGATAACGAATCCGTGAGAACGAGATAGCAACATCGAATGTCTCATTCCAACTCATGGACTCCTTTGCAATAACGATTCCATCGATGTATTTACTTGTCTAAGGAGGGGCAGGGGGGAGGGGAATGACATTTATTTAAAAATTGCAATGAAAGTACTGAGATTTTTAAGTTACAAAGGTTGTTGCAGTGGCTTCAGATTAAATATGATTGAATATCGAAAACTTGCAAGGATATAATCACAGTAAATAGGAGAGGGAGTCTTTGTACAAAAGTCGTTTGCTTGGGTACCTCTGTCCCATTCGTGTTTCAACCGTGAAGCAGTTGTGTTTGCATGGCTGTGTTTCTGTTTGAAGGGTGGGATATGGCGTGAATTTACAGGGTACAGAGGAATAACACCTGAGTCCTCAGGAATGGCAACGTATGGGGGAAACAGTATTCTCTAGGCGACGGTTACCATTTTCCATCAGATGGGCCGTCAGCTTGTTTGCCATTCTAAGTTGTATAAAAAAAAAAAACATAAAATGGTCACAACTCAGTTTATGTTTTGCCCCAAAAGAGTATAACACTGATATTCTGTTGTGGCCAAGAGCCAGTCGCATAAAAAGACCATATTCTTATATGGTAAATTCAATTATTTTACTTTTTTTTTAATGCGTGTGCCGCATGAAAGAAAAAAACTTGTTACTTGTTTTATATATTTTGTTTTTTTTTTTTTTGTATATGCATTCTTTTATCCCTTTTTACTGTGTATGTCTGTTGTTATTTGTATGCTGTATTCTAATGTAAATAAAATTATATATCTATTTAATTATTTTAATTAACTATGTTTTGCATAAATAATTAATTCATCTATTTAATGAAAAGGGACTTAATGCTGATAAATATATAAAAAGATAAAAGATATATTTATTTAACAAAGTATGTTTGTATTAGCACAAAATTTATCATTGCTTCCTAGACTAGGCTGAGCCTGTTCTGTAGGAAACAGAATTCGTGTTATCATATACATGCATATATATATATATATATATATATATATATATATATATATATATATATATATATATTAAACATAAGCTAGCAGTACTGACAATTATGTAACTAATTTGTATAATGAGTATAAATGATATATACTAAAAATAATACGCAGCAAACCTGGACAAGCTGCGGTACATAGAGAAATGCGGCAGTACGCTGTCGAGCCTGTACGAGCGGCACGTGGGCCACATTCTCACCGACATCGACAGCGACCCGATCACGTGGTCGCTGCTCACTCCCCACCGTTGTCTGCTCGACTGTGTGCTTCTACGTGGAGGTACGTCCACATTTATATCAATCAATCAATCAGAGCCATCTCTGGCCGCCCGATGTTACGTGGGCGGACGAGGTAGGGGCCTCGGGGTATACCCCACTACCCCGGCTTCAACTCCGGAGGCGACGACCTCCGGGTCACTGGGTTCTTCAGCCGGCATACACTGATGGTCTGTGTATGCCGCGTGGTGTCTTCCACATTTATATAGCTAATTGTATACTGCGACTTTGCCTAAATTTAGATGGAGTTATCCTTTTGTCGTTATTAGTAGAATGGGTCACCACTTCCTTATTCGTGGTTGTTTTAAAAGGCGACAAAGGGAACTCAATGGCCGAGGAATAGACAGTAGAGTCTCTTTGAGAACACCACCAGCCTAACTTCGGTTGCCAACCCGCTTGCTAAGATTAGCAACTACCAGCGAATCCCCACTTATGGAAAATGTTCAGCAGTGGGCAGTTAAAGACTGACATGATGTTGAGGATACCTTTTAGTATCCTGTAGCAGAGTGTTTAGTTCATCACAACGACAGCAGTAGACAAATGCCTGGAACTACCTCATTAGAAGAAGAACCATTACCAGAGGGAGACTTTGTACAAAAGTCGATTGCTTGGGTACCTCTGTCCCATTCGTGTTTCAACCGTGAAGCAGTTGTGTTTACATGGCTGTGTTTCGGTTTTAAGGGTGGGATATGGTGTGAATTTACTGGGTACAGAGTAATAACATCCGAGTCCTCAGGAATGGCAACGCATGGGGGGTATCATGGGCGAAACAGTATACTCTGTTATGTCCATGGTACTGCTCATGTCTATAGGCGACGGTTACCACTTTCCATCAGATGGGCCGTCAGCTTATTTGCCATTCTAAGTTGTATAAAAAAAAAGAAATATTATTAGTAATGGGGTTGATTCCTTATGAATCCGTTACGATGACCACACTTACCTAACTTCAGCCTCAATATTGCTCACTGGTACCCCGCCAACATATACCGATAGTGCAAGCCATTCCATTATCACCCATAAAAAAAAACTATCCTATTATATTTTCAATTTATTTCTGTGAAATTATCAAAATTGACGTAACTTTGTATTTATAAACAAAATATCGAACAACTACTTTTGAATAATACCTGAGTCCTCAGGAATGGCAACGCATGGGGGGTATCATGGGCGAAACAGTATACTCTGTTATGTCCATGGTACTGCTCATGTCTATAGGCGACGGTTACCACTTTCCATCAGGTGGACCGTCAGCTTGTTTGCTATTCTAAGTATATATTTCCCAATTTTCCCCTTAGACACTCGCATTGTTAAAATATAATTCGCATCATTATAGGAGCAGCCTTAGGCAACCAGCTACACATCATCGGACCCCTCCTCAAAGCGAGCCTGGCGCCGGCGAAGATGGATCCTGAGGTGAAGCTAAAAATCTTCACTAGCCTGTCCACGATGCTGCTCCAGCGGCAGACCAACTTCAGCAAGTGCGACACCTTTCAACTGGAAGCGTTCCTCAAAATTATTCTTAAAGGTTATTATGAGCATTCATCTTCATCATCATATCAGCCTTTAACTGTCCACTGTTGGGGGGAAAGGGATTGTTAGTAATGGAGTCAAATAGCCCCATTACTAGCAATATACCCTGTCAGATCGACCTCTACGTGGTTCCCCCTGGAAACCATCGTGGTAAATTCTTGTTGAATTCGTCACGATGAGCTAACTTACCTGCATCCATCCTCACCTATCATCCTTCACTGGTGCCCCGCCGATGTATACCGATAGCGTGGGTGGGGTTACTATTTCATTATCACACTTAAAAAAAACTGTCCACTGCTGAACATTTTTCTTAATCCTTTTCCCATAAGATCAGTAGTTCTCACGCTTAGCAAGCGGTTTGGCAACAACAGTTAGCTTTTAGAGATGTTTTAACAGAGACGCAGCTGTCCATCCCTCTGTCATTAAGTTCCCTTAGTCGCCTCTTACGACATCCACAGGAAAAGAAGTGGCATATTCTATGCCGGGACCATACAGCCAAGTGCTTGCATCAGATCTTATTTCGTATATATGTATATATATAATTTATTTTTGTATGCCTTAATAAATATATTTCATTGAAATCAGTTGAGTGGTATCGGATAATAGAACAATGTGATATGACATTTTTATATTATATATTAAAATTTTATTGTAATCAGATGTAATAATGGTGAACCTGGTGTGGTCTCCGGGACGGACGGCTGAGGCTACTCGTACTGCCGCTGTCGCCTGCCTGTGCGCCGCGCTGCAGCCTGCGGGCGGCGAGGGGGGCGGAGGGGACGGCAACGAGGTTCCATATTTAAATTTTTTGCTATTAATTAACGAAATACATTGCTTGAAACTACTGTCGGTATTCATAAATAAAGTCTGAGTAAAAATATTTTATTTCCTAGAAAAATCTTTATATTACCAAAAGAAAAAGTATTAAATTTATCTATAAAACATATATCGTCATAGTCGTAGAATACTGACGGATCTGACAAAGATTACATATAAAGATCCGTCAGTATTCTACGACTATGACGATATGTGTACCAACCCCACTACGTAGTATAAGATGTATATCACATCTGTTGTGTAAAATTTACACGAAATTTGCCACGTGTGAACTGATTTTAATTACAAATTTGTTAACAGCGAAATCTATTGACAAAAATAATTACTTTAATATATCATTGCCATTGAAACCTCAATTAATATTTCGTTACTTTTTTTTTATATACAACCAGTTCTTTTAAAGACGACAACACAGTAGACCATAGATAAATCTTTTCATCGTCAACTTTATTTTTTACCATAGACAGTGAACCTGTTCCCTACAAAAGAGTCACTGGCGCCGTTCGTGGACGAGATGGTGCCGCTGCTGGCGGCGCTGGTGGACGACAACTCGTCGCTGACGCGGCAGCACACGCTGCGGGCCATAGCCAGCCTGGCTGAACTCGCTGACCAGCGCGACTGTTTCACTGCTGACGTGTTGCACAAGCTGTATTTTGGTGAGTGCTTTTTTTTTAATTTATTGTAAATTGAATTTATAATAACTTCACGACTGACGACAGTGTACAACTTGACGCTGACGCGACACCACATGCAATGGATTATTTTAAGCTTCCTTTACTTATAGACTCAACTTTTGTACAAAGTCTCCTTCTGGTAAAAAGTTACTAGACAATCCGTCACGCCATTCGTTGCGGGATCAATTCGTGACCCTTAGTTCTGAGCGACTGTGAAGCCAGCGCGTTCGCATCACAGTCAAATAGTTACTAAATAAAATAAATAATTAAACTTTATATGAGGCAGTGGTGCTGAAGCGTCTCGACGACAGCAGCGCTGCGGTCCGCGAGGGTGCATTACACACGACTCGCGAGCTATTCTCTCGTCGCGCGCGGCCCTACGACACGGTGGTGTACGGTGCACACGTGGACGCACTGTACGCGGCGCTGCTGGTGCACCTCGACGACCCGGACGAACAGTTCCGGGGGCAAGTGCTCGGTAATGTATTAAATAATGGACTATTAGTCCCATTGCTAGCAATATGCTCCATAAGGCCGACCTCCACGTGGTCCTCTCTGCAAACCATCGTGCTGAATTCCGGGTGTGTTAATCGTGATGGGCTAACTGACCTGCCTTTTCATTCTCACTTACTATTCAACATTACAACAGTTAAAAGCTGATATGATGATGATGATATCATCACAATTGACCGCCCGCTCTCGCGAACAAGTAAGTTTGCCGACTCTTACGTGAACTGTACCGAGAATGAGAATGGCCTTTCCCCAGGCATATTTCCTTCATCCTATAACCTCGGATCCTTTAAATGTAGCGTGGAAAACACTTATAGAGTTGGCACAGTGCGGTGCAGTCAGCCATAGAGAGTAAATCATTCTCTTTTCAGTTGATCGTATACATGGGCCATGTTGTCTCTGTGTTCGCTCAGGATGGTGTGGTCACATGTCGCATTATAAATAATAGTATTTAGTAAGATTTGTAACAATAATAATGATTTTATTGCAGATACACTATTAGCACTCAGCGACGTGGACCCAAAAGTGCTGATGAAGAAAGTAAAAGCAAATATACACCTCTATAGGAACAAGGATGCCTATGAACGTCTAGCTAGTCATTTGGAAAAGATGTTGTAACATTTTGTTTGTTGTTTTTTGTTGTTTCAGTTATTTTATTTAATAAAGTTAATATAAAAATATTGTGACTTTGAAATGTTCTTTTATTTTCATGCATTTTTGCAGCTAAATTGAAAGATGTAACATGTTACTATACCACCCTAAGCGAATATGGACAGAGACAACAGGGTCTATGAACTCTTTTAAATCCACCGAAAAAAGAACGAAATTACTTTTTATTGAAACATTACTTGAGTTTAAGTGCTATGTAGCATAGGAAAAACACTATGATTAAGCATACAAATTACTAACAATTTTTTTCATAAAAAAAGGTATAGTAGTCGATATTTAACAGAATAAGAAAAATAAAAAAAAAATTAAGTGTTAATTCATTTTGGACAGAAAATTTTATTGTTGTTACACATTTTGCTCATGTGAGCCCTTCGATTCCGAATTCAATTATGGACACATTTTCGCACTTAGGATTTTGTAATAGGTACGTTGAAAAAAAATATCTTTCGTTCGGTAAATTGCGTTAATTATTTTTTCTCTCAGCTCTTTCACAAACTTTATTGGAGTCTCGTAGGTATAGTCCTTCATATGGACCCAGATTGAAAAAAGCTAGTGGAATTAAGTCAGGATTTATTGTAGACCATGGTACTGATCCTTCTCTTCCTGTCCACCTGTTAAGTTAACTCTCATCAAGCTACTGCCTAAAATGATAGGATACGGTAATGAGCGAGGCATTCGTCATGTTGAAACATAATGTTATTTCTAATTTTCCAAATAGACGCAAACTGTCCTTAGTATTTTAGTAATTTTGTATTAAATTCCCAAAAAAAGTAATAAATATTATACTGGTTTTTATTATTGTAATAGAAATAAAAATAAATGAATTTTATTTTTTTTTTTTTTTTCTTTTTTTGTGGCGTTCACCCCGATATTAGGGTATTTTGCCAAGAACAAAACGGGGAAACGATAATAGTAATAAAAATACCTAACACAAACGAATTTAGAAAGGATAAGGATTAGGTCTAGGATATTTATAGGATATGAAACATATACTTGTACATATGAGAATATACTTATAAATATATAGGAAAAGCAATTGATGCAACTATAAATGTATTCATGTAATATAACTAAATCTTAATATTGTTATCATATATATATGAAGGTAGTATTTTATAGATAATAGGATCATTGGAAGAAAGTAGAGTAAGAATAGAAGTTGGGAATGGAACACGGATGGATCGGAGATGATTAAAAAGGGAGGTGTGGTCAAATTTAGAACATGAGAAGAATATATGATTCAAGTCCGCCACTTCAGCACCGCAATTACACGACGAACTTTGTACAATACCAAGCTTGTATAAATGAGAAGGTGTGCATACGTGACCTAGACGCATACGAGTTATAATAGTTGTTGCGGTCTTTCCAAGCTTTAATTTACAAAACCATGGTTTGAAAGGAATATCGGGTTGTATAAGGCGATAAAATCTTCCTTTTATTGTACTTGTTTTTTCCCAATATTCCTTCCAGGCATACCTTAAATATATTTTTGGGAGACAAGCTAGGTCACTACAGTAATTATGATACGGATACATATCACCACAAGTTACAGCCTCTCTTGCAATAAGGTCAGCTTTGTCATTGCCGCTAATACCACTGTGTCCTGGTAACCAGGCAAAAGAAACGGAATACCCTCTCAACATGCAAAGATAAAGACTTTGTCTTATGTCACAAATAATGGGATAAACTGGTTTTGATTTAAACGGATATTTGGCTAGAGCTTGCAAAGAGCTCATAGAGTCAGTGAAAACTATTGCCTTATGTAATTTCATTAAAAGTATATATTCTACAGCTTTTAAAATACCATAGCATTCCCCGGTAAAAACTGAAGATTCCGGTGGAAGTTTAATTTTTTGAACGATATTAAATTGTGAATGAAACACACCCACACCTACACAACCGCTATTGTCTGGTTTTGATGCATCAGTAAAGATGTAGTGCCATTCATTCCATTCAATGTCAGTTATAAACATAAATTTGGCATTCAATTCTGAATCATTTTTTGATAACCCAAAATCATATTTAATATTAGGAGATAAAACTAAAGATTGATATGAGCATTTATAAATGGGAAAACAGGACGATGTAAAAGTGGGAGATTCTATGGATTTATATTTTTCATAACTTTGTATTAAACATGGAGGTTTTTTATGTTTCCAATAAGATGAAGACGAAATAAAGATATATAGTTGAGATAACTTTTGAATAAGCGGATGATCAGATAATTGTAAACAACGAAAAAAGAAGCGATCAGATAAATATTGCCTTCTTAAAACCAAAGGTGGATCACCGACTTCGAGCTGTAAAGCATTGATTGGACTTGATTTCATTGCTCCAGAGATAATCCTCAAGGCCTTTGATTGAATTAAATCCAATTTCTTAAAAGCAAATGAACTTCCTGGAGCTAACAAAAAAGTTCCATAATCAATGACACTCCTTATAAGACCATTATAAGCAAGTTTTAGTGAAACGGGATGTGCTCCCCACCAAACTCCAGCAAGGCACCTAAGAATGTTGAGGTTACGCTCACATTTCGTGGAAATATAATTACAGTGGGACAGACCTGTTAATTTATTATCTAGCACGATACCTAAAAATTTAATTTCAGTCTTTATAGGAATGTATGAGTTATCATAAAGCACCTTAATTTGTTGCGGTGATCTCATTCTTGAAAACAAAACTACACTACTCTTGGTTACAGAAAGATTAAGACCATTTTCATCTAACCACGTTTTTAACAAATCTAATGAATCAGATAATTTGGCAGAAGCAGATTCTATGGACTTCGCAATAAAATATAATAAGAGATCATCAGCATATTGTAAAATTTTGACGGATTTATCAAGGAATGATTCTAGATCGTATGTGTATATGTTGAATAAAATTGGACTGAGAACAGATCCTTGTGGAAGGCCTTTCCATACTGTTCTAGATAATTTGGTATGTTCATCTAGATCCATATGTATTGTTCTTTCTGATAAAATATTAAAAATGAAATTAGAAAGCATTACCGGTACATTTAAAGCTTGTAATTTAGTTTTTAAAATAGAAATTATTACATTATCATAGGCAGAATTTATATCTAAAAAGGCTGAGAGGATTGACAAATTTTGTGAGAAAGCTATATGAATATCTGAAATAAGAATGCTCACATTATCTAAGGTGCTCTTACCTTTCCTAAAACCAAACTGGTTCGGGGATAGTAAGTTATTACTTTCTAAAAACCATTCTAGACGGTTCTTCACTAAATGTTCAGCTAGCTTTAGTAAGACAGAGGAAAGTGCAACAGGACGGTATGAAGATGGTTCAGAAGGTGGTTTATGAGGCTTTAGAAATGGTATAATAATCTGAGACTTCCATGAAGTAGGTATATTTCCCGAAATAATTATGGAATTAATTATATTTAAAAAGTAAATTAATGTCGCATCGCTAGCATTTTTAAAAATGAATACGGTATACCGTCTTCTCCCGGTGCAGAGTCTTTAATACAAGCTAGAACACCTTTAAGTTCTACAAGAGTAAAAGGAGACTCAAGTTCGGATAATTCGTCAGAGACGGATAGAGAAATATTGTAAAGGCATTCCGGCACATAACTAGGAGCAAGGCGATCTAAAAATTTATTCGCTAAAGTTAAATCGAGTGCAGAACGTGATGTATGATCACTAAAGGCAGATCTGAATCTTTTAATATTATTCCAAACGACTGATGAATTAACTTCTGGACAGATAGAAGAACAAAATCTTCTCCAGCCTTCTAATTTCTTTTTTTTCAGTAGTTTTCGAGTAGAACGTGAAACTGCGGTGTAAATTTCAAAATTTTCTGGTGTCATGTAATTATTATAATTTTTTTCAGCCTCTTTACGATTTTTAATTGCTTCCGTACAATCTTTGTCCCACCAAGGTGGCGAGGGAATTTTCCCTGAAGCACTATTTTTAACAGGAAATAATAAATCAGCAACCTCCTTCATATTTATCATCAAGTCATTACAACATTGATGTTCATTTCCATGGTAAACAATAGGTAACTCCGATATTTTATTATCTAAATATTGTTTGTAAATATTCCAGTCTACATTTGATAAATTATATTTAAGCCGAGGACCACTCTTTCGACTTGAGGGAATGGAAATTGGAAAAGAAAGAATGAGGGGAAAGTGATCGCTTCCGAAAGTAGAGGAATGAGGATACCACGACAGTGAAGAAGCTAAATCAGAAGAACATATTGAAATGTCAGGAGCACTAAACCCTTCATTCGGTGCAGTTCTACGTGTTGGTACATCTGAGTTAATAATACATAAGTTGTAAGTGTCAATTATCGTCAGGAGTTTTCCACCCTAAAAATTAGAAGTAGAACTGCCCCACGATTGGTGTTGAGCATTAAAATCGCCCATTACGAGAAAAGGTTTAGGTAAAATTGAAAATAATTGTTCTAGTTGTGAATATATTTGGCATGTAGGATCAGGAATATATAAAGTAACAAAACAGATACCATTTATAATTATAGCAGCTGCATTAATGCCGCTATATACAGGAAGCGAAAAAGAAGAAAAAGGAAGGGAGTTTTTGACCAATATGGCAACACCGCCATATCCGTCAGCTCTATCATCACGGAGACTTGTAAAGCCTGAAATCCTAAAAGGATATCCTGGCTTTAACCAAGTCTCTTGGAGAGCTATTATAAAAGGATTATATTTATTAATCAAATAAAATAAGTCTGATTTCTTGTTTGTTATGCTACGACAGTTCCACTGAATTATTAGGACTTTGTAATCCATTGTGAGAAGTTAATAATTGAGAAAATACATTGTAAATGGCATCGTTGGACGGTGGTAAAGTTGTTTGTATCATTTTCGATTGCGATAACACTTTAATAAGCATGAGAATAATATCAAAGATGGATTGATTATTGTCAATATTATTTGATGATAATGCACAACCATTAGAGAGAGCAGGAATATTATATTCCTTAACTATGGCTTCATGGGCAGAACGATCATATCCTTGTTGTGCTTTTTGAGGAGAGCGTGGTTTAAGTGTAACTGTTTTTTTATGTGATGATTGAATATGTGGTAATGATGATTTCTCTTTGAGGAAAGAAGATTGAAAATGAGATTTATTGGACGGAGATGATGATGTTAATACATCTGAATATAGTTTAGAAGTGGGAGGATGAAATTTTGATGCTTCAGCATAAGAAACACAACTGTGGGCCATTGTTTCTTTAATGGCTTTCTGACGTGCATATTCAGGACATTTCTTACTAATTGCTGAATGAGAACCATTACACAAGATACAAGAAACATTTTCCTCATCTACTTCACATTTATCACCTGTATGATTTTGCCTGCATTTATAACACCGAGGATTTGAACGACACTGCATCTTGACATGTCCGAACCTACAGCAGTTATAGCATTGGATAGTGGGGTAAATGTACAAATCTACAGTTAATGATGTGTAAAACATAAATACTCTTTTTGGTAATATTTGTCCATCAAAAGTAATAACAATGGTTTCAGTATTAATAAAACTTGGTTGTCCTTCATTAATGGTCTTTTTCTTAATTCTTCTGGTTTTTAGAATTCTCCCACAACCTATAGGTACTGATATATTTTGGATTACTTCCTCTTCTGTCCAATCTTTAGGAATACCCCTCACAATTCCCATACGGGTTACATGGAAAGAAGGTATAAATGCCTTAAAATTATGTGTTTCTAAGTGACTATTATTTAAAAATGCATTTGCATTTTCAAAATTTGAGAAAGAAAGCGATAAACGGTTTCTTCCTATTCTTTTGAGGCTACCATTCACTATATTATTTATCTTATTAGTGTGTAAAAAGCGACCAAATGCAATAGGATGTAATGTAGTGTTATCATTAGGATGTGTTTCATTTTTTTGTACATGAACGACATAAGGAGCTACATCCTCGGCATTGTACAAAGTTCTGCTTAAAGTACTGGGTGGAGAAGCAGGTTTAACAGACTCGGTATTATTTACAACTGGTATTGATACTAGAGTTTGATTCTCATCCTCAATACATTGACAATCACTATCTTTAATTTTAGATTCGAGACCTTTGGTGTGCCTCCTTCGTTTTTTATTGCAATGTTTGCAAATGCGACGTTCGCCACGTACTCGCTTACGTTTAGAACTTGCAACGCTAGAACCATCTGTGTCCATACTAGATTCACCCAATATATCAAAACTATTATTAAATGGGATAGTTATATTTGCAGACACCTGGGGGGTTGTCCCCCCAGGGTCTATAGGTGGATCCATAATGTCTAATTAATATAGGTAATTTACTTACCAATATTTACAGCAACAAACACTATTACTACAAAATATACAATTATATATACAATCTAATACACAATATATAAATAAAACTAATCCTTATATAATTAAAAATAAAATTAATTTAAAGAAGATCAAAAAACACTCCCGCTTTTTTAAACGTTTCCCGCGCTTTTTTTTCAAATGAATTTTATTCAAATACAGTTTTCTAAGTTTTTTTTTATTTATTTAAATAAGCCTAAGAACAAGGACTAAATCTTTGAAACAAGTACACCTTAGAGTTGTTAGAATTTAGGTTCTGTATCATTATATCTTCGGTAATTTATTTGTTTACATATTCATACACATACATGTTTTAAAACAATTCAATTCCATGTTACACAAAATTATAAGTGAAAACTTAGTTTCCAATCCAACGAAAAAAAAAAAAAAAAAACAAAATAACCTACAAGACGTGCACCAATCACAATTGGCCAAGTAAAGCTGTCAACGTCATTCTTTGAGTCGTGGTCGTACATGGACGAGAGTTTTCTATTAGTTAAATTTCTCAATTTAGTCCCTTGATGTAGTAGATTTTGTATAGCACTCAACTGTTAAACTTATATTTAGACTTTTTCTATACAAAACTTCAATCATAATGTATAAATTAAGTGTGTTTCATTTATTATTCGTCGCCACAGCGATACAAGTGGCTCTCGCATTAAAAGAAGGCGAATGCGAGGTTTGTGTAAAAACTATTGAGAAATTCGCAGCCACGTTATCAGACGATGTGAAGAAGGATCCCAAATTAATAGAAGGTTCTTTCAAAAAATTCTGTAAAGGTTCAAAAAATAAAGAGAACAGATTCTGTTACTATTTGGGTGGATTAGAAGAATCCGCTACCGGTATTCTAGGTGAAATGTCCAAGCCCCTCAGCTGGTCAATGCCAGCAGATAAAATCTGTGAAAAACTGAGGAAAAAGGATGCACAAATTTGCGACTTAAGATTCGACAAGCAGATTGACCTGAACAATGTAGATTTGAAGAAACTGAAGGTACGCGATTTGAAAAAGATTTTGAACGACTGGGACGAGGATTGCGATGGCTGCATCGAAAAGACAGACTTTATTAAGAGGATAGAAGAATTAAAACCCAAATATATGGGTAGATCTGAGCTGTAAAATAGTTTAATTAATTAGGTAAGCTTGTTATTTGATTTGGAATAATTTCTTTGTCTGGTTATTAAAATGTAAGCAAATAGATAATCATACAATCTCAGCATTATAATAAAATAAGAAGTATAAAGGGACTTTGCCAGAAAAAGACCCGACATCAAACTTATCCTCCCATGAAACTTTATTTATGTAATCTATTTCTGAAATTCAATCTTATTTATGTAATTTTTTTGTGATTTCTAGTAAATCAGCTCAAGTCCCTCAATACTAACTAGAATAACATTAATATTCACTGTGCATATACTACAGTAGTGGTGTGTAAAGTTACCTATACACTGACAATGGTGTTAGTATTTTAGAATTATTTTGTTTAATTCTACTACCATTAGTATGTGTATGACTGTCAACATTTATATAGACCATTATTATTACCAATAGAACTTCTATGACCTTCCGTATTATTCATTACTCTCTGACCATTTTGTTTTTGCCTCTAAATGAGGTATTTTCAGGAAAATTAAAAATCACTGCTCAATACCTTATGTTAACTGTTTAGTGCCCAAACTGCTAATCATACATTGCACTCAATGCAAAATAACATCTAGTTCAGTAAAAAAAAACTTAGTGTAGATTTTGAAGTACAATTACCTTAATTTATTTCTAAGATTTTGATAGTCTTAGTGAAATCATTATTTTACAGACTGCCAATACCTGAATTAAAAGTTATCTCAAATCTATGTTTATTAATGATAGTATGACAACTTCACTGTAATATCAAACTATTTTTATTTTAAAGATAATAATTTGCATGTCAATACTAGCTCCAATCTAACCTTAACAATGTTTGACTCATTTTTGAATCGGGGATATAATTATTAATCAAGAACTGTGTACTCTAGAGAACATATTACTGCATTTGTTTCAACTACATAGAGTCGTAAGTTTTTTTTATGGGTGAAAATGGAATGGTAACTCTGCCTGCACTAACGGGATTTGCTGGTGGAGCACCAATGAAGGGTAATAGATGAGAATGAAAACAGGCCAGTTAGCCCATCATGATGAATTCATCAGGACTTAACCTTGATAGTTTCTAGGGGGAACCGCGAGGAGGTTGACCTGGTTATATTGCCAGCAATGGGATTCTCAGTCTCCATTACTAACAATCCCTTTCCCCCCTAGAGTCATAAGTTAGCATATTGCAACCATTTGTTGAAGAAAAACCTTCCTCTTTTGGTTGATTATATTAATGTATCATTGCTGGTTTATGCCTGTGCCTGTGCCTGCTTTTTCATACTACATTCTCTCTAATACTGTTCTCCTTCTGTTTTTATAAACTGTACTTTAGAGTAACAATAAATTGTTAATGTGTTCACAGTAAATTTATTAAATAACATACTTTACAGTGGTAATGTGTAGGGTATGTCCACAACCTATATTGCTACAATGTATTCGATCTAGGTCACGTGATCATGTGTCAAGCTGTTATAATAAAAATCGTAAATAAAAAACAAAAAAATCCTATTACCCTTAGTTACATTAAATATACCAATATAAATTAGCCTCATAAAAAGATGACACTAGTTCACACTGAACTAGATATGATATTTATATCACTATTAATACTATAAAGTCTTAGGGCCCTATAATCAAATTTATTATTATCTATGGGCCACCCCTAAGTTATCAAAATTAGTAGTACAAAAGAGAGCTTGTCAATATATGAAAAAATGCTAAATAAATAAAATATGTTTTGACTCACAACATGCAAATGGTTACCCATATTCCAATAAACCTCATGACATCATGAATCATATCTATAGGTGAAACTTACTACTTTCCATCAAGTGAGTTTCTTGCTATTCCATTGTTCTATAAAAAAAAATTAAAATTACATAAGTTAGTCTAGTCTCTTTTTTATATTTATTTATTTATTTAAACAATGTAATATAACATAAACTTTTTTTACAGTAAATTATTCATATGACAATGTGATATGAGCCTAAAGCGCTGGAGCTGATAACGGAAGCAATGGTTCGTCCTAGTGATCAATGAATTAATTGTATTATGCATTTGAACTTTATGGAGTGCGTGGAGAATATGTGAACAGCAATGAGTAAATTATTATTGTAATTAAGTAAATATTTTTAACAAAAAAACAGTGTCTTTATTATTATGTTTACCTATAACTGGTTCGAGTATCGAAGATAAAAGTCCATATCCATCCCAAATAGTATGTGCATACCTAATTTTATGACTATTGGTCGAGTATTCAAAGCACCAAAATGTAAACAAACTGACTTTCATATTTATAACATTACAGCAGTCTTGCACTTGTATTACTTATTTTGAATTACCAAAGTACAAAAATAAAATAGAAAACATTACTATTTTGATCAACTTGAAAAGAATTTCTATTTTGGATCCATATTAAATGTCAGCATTGAAGTCTTTTATAGCATAGCAAAAATTTCAATTTTGCATGATTAATACAAATCATTATCAAAATAAATTCCGTAATGTGGAACCGGCATAGAATAAACTACTTCTTCCTTTTCCATGGATGTCGTACTATTAAGGAATGGCAAGGATGGGCAGTAGCATTTCTTTTATAACATCAAAGCCTAACTGTGGTTGACAACCTGTCTTCCAAGAATGGCAACTATTGGCAAACCCCTTGTGGGGAACTCTATTTCAGCAGTGGACAGTTAACTAACAGCTGATATGGTATGGTATTATCAAAATAAATCACATATAATGAGGATACAAGTTATTTATCAATATTATTTATTTTTTTAATAAACAAAAATAAAGGAAACCATTTTGAACTAATGTGTTTATTGCAGCAAATTACAGAGTTAATGAACTACACCAACAGATTCTTTGACAAAAAATTTCCATACATAAATATAGAATAATAAATATTGTATATATGGCACAGCCTTTAGTGGTATTTGTAGTTCCTGTGGTGCTCTGAAAAATAAAAACATTTTTGTAACATTAATCTCAATTAAAATTAACTGCTAAAAATATCAAATGTTGATGGTTTAAACAGAGAATATTTTACTATACTTAACCAACCATAAAATTGCAGATACTTATTATTACATCGTCAAATATATTGTCATTTATACAGTAGTCCTTTTTCTATGGAATGAAAATGAAGTGGTTGTCCAGTCTACAATATCAGTATATACTGGTACCGTATCAGAAAGACTAAGATTAGGTCATTTGACTCATAAAAATATAGCACAAAAAATAAAAGTGCTCATCATAGGCCCTATAAATAATTTTAGAACCTTTTATTGATATTGTGAATAGTTTAAAAAATTGATGGATTAATCTAGACATGATTCTATATATTTTTATCAATTCCTAAATAAAAATATTGTACTATTGTCACAACTATAGAATAATATAACAATATAAGTATTGACTGAAAAAATGTAATATTTCAGATTATTACGAATATCACTTACTCATTTTGCCATAGTTGATTGCATAGAAGAATGTCATAGAGCCAACCAGAAGCTGGAAGAATGGAGCGACACCTGCCTTCTTAGGCTGCATATACTTGTGTTGCCATCTCCACCAAGCTATTTCAAAGATAAAAATATTGTCATTTTATATTGGTAGTTGATAATTCATAGCCACCTTAATAATAGATACATAGATAAACACTTTGTTTGAGTTATCTATAACATGTAAATTTACATTTAAATTCATACAATGAAATAAGTTACTTAATTATAAGAATAAAGCACAAAAGATAAAATACAAATTGTTTTTGCCATGTGTGTCACGATGACCCAAATAAGTCGCAGCTCAGTGATAGCTTTGTTTAAAAGCAATGCAATCATTTTCAGCTGCAGCCTGAAATTAGGCTACATGAATGTGCAACAAACTCAGTGTCCCTGTATAATCAGAACAATACACAGAATAAAATTGTATTACCTATATAGATACATATATAAAAAATGAATAAATATTTGATTAGTGAACTAAACATAAAAATTAATTATTATATGTTGAATGCAGCCACTAAGCCGTGACCATACAAATTTTTTGTTTATTTAATTAATGATGTTTTAATGGAAATGGCAAATACTTACAATTGGCAAATATCCAATTTAAATTCTTAAATAATTAAAATATCTACATAAGATTGTCCATATCAAAGTATGACTATCCTATTATTGTTCTTTTTTTTTAAATAATTAAGTATTTTAACCTCATCATCATTTCAGTATCAAACCCAAGTGAAAATATAATTTTGCAAATATATTCAAAAGAGTACTAACAAACTAAAAATTACTAACTTATTTTTCACTATTAAAATAAAAAAAAAAATTGAAATATTAAATATTGTTCTAATGTTTTTGAAAATGACAATTGATTCAAATATGAACATCGCTTATAACTAAACACATGGATAATCTACCTAAAATATACAAGAGTTGTCAATAAAGTAAGTAATTAAAGACTAAATTCTGAATGAAATCTGGACTATCAAGGAATATTTACTATTATCAATTAATTTTACTGTTACAAATAATTAACAATATGTTATTAATTATATACATTGTTATAAAGGAAAATTTTGGCTGCATAAATATATTCATATTAACTTGTTACTCCACAGTAAAAAATATGTAGAAAGTTAAATTGGCTTAACATGGGCTACAAACCCAAATGTTCAGTGTCAAATTTCTCTTAATTCAATAACCTGAAGATTAAGCAATTGTTTATTAATAAGATAAAATATATGAATTACATTGCCCTTGTCAGTATGAAGGTGCATTTTGTAGTTATATTGACAACTAACCTCAATCTATATAAGTAATTTTATTAAATATTACCTCTGCTGAAAGCACCCGCGATGGCTTGAGGAGTCTTATTTCTGCGACCAAACCATGATCCCAATTCACTCAGTTTCACTTGACCAAAAGGTGTATCGGCTGCGGGAAGAAAAAATTACATAATCGAATTTTATGAACATCGAAGGCTAATATTTTTTATCAGTATATTACTTACGTTTTCCATAATAGCGCGCCGGGTCATATGGACCATGGACTGCAGGATTGTACTCTTTCGGATAGTCACCGATAGCCATGATTTAACTATCACGAATACGGGATTTTTTTAGAAATTAATTTTATTCCTGGGTAGGTAGATGGGTAGCAAGTACAACCGCAGACAGTTGTCAAATGTTTGACAGCCAGTTATGTCATGTCAAACGGAAACGGTCATAGACAAAATGTTATTGCAAATAGTCTTGGAAATCTTTTTTCTTTGCAAATACTTTGTGGAATTCCATTGAAAATTACTAAAAAAACAAAATACATAAAATACTGAACTCAAATGAAAAATACCATTTCTTTGAAATATACTTCTATATATGGAAGGAAAAAAGACGAAAATTATTTTACAATACCTACAACTATAATTTTTATAATATTTTCGCATATTTCATAAAAAAAAGCTGGTCACTTGAGATACATAAACCACAGAATAAAATTAAATTGAGCTGTTTTGAATATTTTACTCCAAGATTTAAATGAAAAAACTAAAGTGAAAAAAAACATCTGTCAAGTTTCTATGGTCAAGTTTCGTAATCTATGGTTTATATGATTATACAGCAGATTTTGTTCGTTCTTTGTAATTATTGCGATATCTTTCCAAAGTTACTTATTCAATATCAATTTAATAATTAAAATTAGGTAAAATGGTCTTAGAAAGTACTATGATCTGTGTCGATAATAGTGATTATATGAGAAATGGAGATTTTCTACCAACGAGACTGCAGGCGCAACAAGACGCTGTAAACTTGGTATGTCACTCCAAAACTCGTTCAAATCCTGAAAATAATGTTGGTTTGCTGACATTGGCTAATGTAGAAGTTTTAGCCACTTTAACTAGTGATGTTGGTCGTATATTATCAAAGCTACACCGCGTACAGCCCAATGGAAATATTAACCTTCTAACTGGAATAAGAATCGCTCACTTGGCACTGAAGCATCGTCAAGGGAAGAACCATAAAATGCGTATAGTAGTATTTGTGGGTTCCCCTGTTAACACCGATGAGAAGGAACTAGTCAAACTCGCTAAGAAATTAAAGAAAGAGAAAGTCAATTGTGATGTTGTTTCTTTTGGTGAGGATTCTGACAATAATCCTCTCTTGACAACATTTATTAATACATTAAATGGTAAAGATAACACATCTGGAGGTAGTCATCTAGTGTCTGTTCCAGCTGGAGGGTGTATAGTTCTTTCCGAAGCTCTCATAACAAGTCCATTAATAGGTGGTGATGGGGCTGGTCCGTCTGGCTCAGGCTTATCACCATTTGAATTTGGTGTTGATCCTAATGAAGATCCTGAACTTGCACTAGCCCTTCGAGTGTCTATGGAAGAACAAAGGCAACGCCAGGAAGAGGAATCGCGGCGCCAACAGACCAGCACTGAAGGTGAGGCTGGAAAGACCACAGAAACACAAAACACTGGTATGGAGCGGGCTCTTGCCATGTCACTAGGCCGTGAAGCCATGGAATTATCTGAGGAAGAACAGATTGCTCTAGCTATGCAAATGAGCATGCAGCAAGATGCTCCACAAACTGAAGAGAGCATGGACGCTGAAGAGTATGGTGAAGTAATGAATGATCCAGCATTCCTTCAAAGTGTACTTGAGAACCTACCTGGAGTGGATCCCCAAAGTGAGGCCATTAGAAATGCTATGTCAACCATCCAAAAAGATAAAGGTGACAAGGATGATAAAGATCAGAAGGATAAGGATGGCAAAGGATCAGGTTCCAAGGAGTAGTGAAAAAATATTATTCAATTTTTTTTTTTATTGATACATTATGCTCCTAAACTTTAACATTAGACACAACAGCAGTGTTACTTTAATTTTAAATTTATAATAAATAATATACAAAACTTTATTAATTTATTGAAATTTATTACCATGAGATCCAGTTTAAACCTTCAATTTTTTCATATCCTGAAATAGAAAAACTTATTTTAATCTTGTTAAAATTCAGTATTAAACATTCATGAAAATGTTTAATTAAACTTACTTGAGTCATCCCAGAACTGTTGGCTCTGAAATTTCTGCTTTACTTCTGTTAGCTGTTTTCTTCTTTGATCCTCCATAAATGTTTTTGTTCCTATAGAAACTTCTTTAAGTTTTTCTGAAAATGATAAATAAATATAATAAATGTTTAAAATTAAATACAATTAAAAAATATAATTAGCTTCTATTACCTTTTGTGAAAATGGGACTGATATCTCATATTGTAATATTAGTCATGTCTTACTATAATTAGTCACTCTTGAAACTGCATATGGATGCAGAGCCAGTCCAGTTTTCACTAAAAATAATAGAACAATATTACTAGAATGGCCATGTATATCTAGGTCCCTTTTATGGAATACAGTCATAATGTCATACAAAAGTTACTATGTTACACTATAAAAAGGGGTAAATAACATAGCCCTGTGCTGCCATCATAGAATGAACCACTCTTTCCTTTCCCATGGGTGTCGTAAGAGGTAATTAAAGGAACTTAATGGTTGAAGGATGGGCAGCAGTGTTCCTTTTAAAACAGCACTAAAGGTGTCTACTGAGAATCCCTCTTATGTCAGACACCTATATTCAGCAGTAGACAGAGTGGACAGTGTTAACAGATAATAAAAAATAACAAGCTATTTTTTACATAAGACATTTTAATCTCATAATAAAGCAGTAGACGCAAATGTCATGTCTAATATAACAATCCCATATGAACATGCAATCATTCCCACACTTCACTATTAGTAATTTTTTTTTATAATATAATAATTCAATCTATACATTAAACTGTCAAGTACATCAAATTCTTTAGAGGTTATAAATGGGATCACTCTGTGCGATGAGCAAACCTAATTCACCATTTACCTGTTATATCAATTTACATATTATTAAATTACATAAAAATATATGTATTAATTACTCTGATTCACATTAGCCTTAGCTTTTTCATCTTGTCCCTTTTGGTTTAATAGTAAATAAGAACTTTTTATGTCCTCCAGTTGCGGCTTGAAACTTCTGTTACTACAAATTCCAGCTGAAAGAATAATATATACATTTAATAATACAGTAGGTACTTGATTTATAATATTATCTTATCTAATATATAAAATTGTAATTAGATGATGCCTGTATAGTTATGGGAGATATTTTTTTTTGATGGTATGGTAATTCAATGGTATGGTAACCCCGCCTGCGCTAACGGGATACGCTGGCGGAGCACCAGTGAAGGGTGATAGATGAGAATGAAAACAGGCCTGTAGTTCATCATGATGAATTAATTCATCAGGAATTAACCATGATAGTTTCTAGGGAGAACCGTGAGAAGGTCGACTTGGTTGGGTATATTGCTAGCAATAGGATTCTCAGTCTCCATTACTAACAATCCATTTCCCACCGTTATGGGAGATAATATCTCCCATAACGGTGGGAAATAGAATTGAAAAACAAATTTGAGATCTTATTAAGACCAATAGATCATCACCATATATTAGCCTTTATCCGTCTTCTGCTGAATATATATATAACTGCGGTTGCCAGTCCACATGCCGCGCTTGGCATGTGGACTGGCAACCGCAGTTATACTTTAGAGATGTTTAAAGAGGGACGCTGCTACCCTTCCCTCGTCCTCCCTTAGTCGCCTCTTATGACACTAACAGGAGAGGAAGGGGTGGCCTATTCCATGCTTGAACCACGTGGTCAATAAATGCTAAAACATTTTTTTTTTTAGAAATTTTGTCCCTTTGTATATTTGTTCTAAAATCAAATTGTATGTGGTATTCACAGTAGTATTTTTTTATGGATGATAATGGAATGGTAACCCAACCCGCGCTATCGGTATACACCAGCGGGGCACAAGTGAAGGATGATAGGTGAGTATGAAACAGGTCAGTTAGCTCATCGTGATGAATTCAACAAGAATTGTTTACGATGGTTTCCAGGGGGAACCACGTGGAGGTCGACCTAATAAGGCATATTGCTAGCAATAGGGCTATCAAACTCCATTGCTAACAATCCCTTTCCCCCTCACAGTAGTATTAGAAAGTCTAACTAAAAGTCTGCAGCATGTTTTTTCTTAATACACCAACTCGTATATTTAATAGATTTTTTTGTTTCTGAAAACTATGCTTACAAAATAACGGGCAAAATACTAATACATATATAGTAATACTGTTTACACTTGTTTTTTTACTTATAAAGTAGTTTAGTGTTACTTACAGCCGACCCTTCCCATGGAAGGTAAATCTTTGTACAACGGTTGCTTAAGCTCCGTGAGTATATCGCGGAGTAGCACTGATTCGTTCTTAGGTGCTTCAAATTTTTCTTTGGGCCGAATCCGGTCTCTGCGATCGGGGTATAAACGCTTCATACATGGCGACTCTTTGTTTGAATCTGTTTTTACTATATAATAAAGAAAAATGGACTGTTACACATATTATCAGTTCTCACGTGGCTGTTTAACTAGTCTCGAAAACATTCGACCAATCATGTTAGAAAATAAGAAATCAATACGATATATACAAGGTATAATATAATTTATTTAAATAAATAATAAATACCATCAGACAAACTACATAACACCAGCTAATCCCAAACTAAGTAGAACATGTGCCATGACTATTGTACGACTAATAGTCATAATTCATTAAGATTCCGTTCCACAAAAAAAAATCGATTTTAACTAATTACTGGACCGATATTGATAAAATTTCTATAATAGGATCGATCTGTAAGTATATCTTTTATAGATAAAAAAATAATTTTCCCAATCGATGTTTAAGCGCCGCAGTTATAAGGTAACAAACATAAAAAATATAAATGAATTGAAAACCTCCTTTTTAAAGTCGATTCAAAATATTTTTGAAAATACTCAGACCAATACAATCAGCCATATCTACTCATAAATACACAAAAAAAAATTTATTGTGCGGAGATTGAACCTGCGACGAATGGAAGGTAAATCGCGGTGTGTTAGGCCGCTAGAAGCTAGACCACCAAGGTTGTCAAAAATTTGATCAAGATTTTTTTTTATACAACTTAGAATGGTAAACAAGCTGACGGTCCACCTGATGGTAAGTGATAACCGTCGCCTATAGATATGCCTAATTCTGTACATCACGTTGAAATGTGATATGAGTTAGATTAATAATAATAAAAAAAAATAACCTGGCACTTTCACCGTGGATTTGTTCGGTTGTTTCTGATTTAATTCTGTTAAATAGAGAAAAAATATTATAAATGTCTAGTTAGTTAGGTAAGGGTTGTCACCTACCGAATCCATTTTTCTATATTACCTTTACTAGATCAGCTACCAAGTAATAATAATTAGGAGGAATGCGTAAATATCTACCTGAAATACAGTTTTTCTGATAAGACAGCTTCGTTGTCTTCATCTTGCTATACGATGTAGATCCTCTTGAATCTTAAATGTGAAAATTATACAGAAATACTAGCTTTTACCTGCGTTTTTGTCCACGTTACTGCAATAATGAATAGAATAGTAATATCTAAATAGACCAGTTTACAAGCTCATTTCATCCGTATTTTTTTTTAATGTTCACAGACCAGAATAAAATAGCCTATGTGTAAAACATATCTCATAGTATGTGTTTTTTTTAGCTGATACAGCAACACATGTTATAGAGGGGAAAGAGATTGTTAGTAATGAAGACTGAGAATCCCATTGCTAGCAATATACCCAACCAGGTCGACCTCCTCGCGGTTTCCCCTGGAAACTATCATGGTTAATTCCTGATGAATTCATCATGATGGGCTAACTGACCTGTTTTTATTCTCATCTATCACCGTTCACTGGTGCCCCGCCAGCGTATCCCGTTAGCGCAGGCGGGGTTACCATATCATTATCACCCATAAAAAAAAAACTTTTAAACTCACTCTCACATTTGTAATATTAGTATGAACTTAGAATGGCAAACAAGCTGACGGCCCACCTGATGGAAAGTGGTAACCGTCACCTATAGACATGACCGCTCATGTCTATAGTCATATCATGGACATAACAGAGTATACTGTTTCACCCATGATACCTCCCATGCGTTGCCATTCCTGAGGACTCAGGTGTTATTCCTCTGTACCAAGTAAATTCACGCCATATCCCACCCTTCAAACCGAAACACAGCCATGCAAACACAACTTCTGCACTTATCTATCCAACTATGTACCAACAGATTTAGTGGAAATAGTACCTTGTTTGTCATCTGTCGATTTGACCTGCCGACTTGAACTATTACTGCATCTGTTGAGAGACGGTGACTGTGTTCTTGTTGCTACAATACAAAATTAACACAATATATAACAAAAATGAACCGAAAAACCTTATATTTACTTAAATTATAATATTTTTCATAAAGAAGGCACTACATCATAGATAATATATCATTAGGAGTTCTAGTTCTTCCCTAATTTATTTATTTAAATATTTTTTGTTATGTCCATGGTGCTGCTCATATCTATAGGGGACGGTTACCACTTTCCATCAGGTGGGCCGTCAGCTTGTTTGCCATTCTGTTTTATAAAAAAAAAACTAATGCACAGTGGAATTCCATACACATTTGGCGAATTTAACACCGGACGGTGTTCTCTATCAATCAACCATTGGGCAAACCGATAAATAAGTAGGCGGTGCATTATTAAATATAAAAAGTAATAGTTCATATATTGTAAACATATAATTAGACTAATATAAACATACACATAATATGTTTAATAAATAAATATACACATAAGTTAATACATAAAGTATTACTACCTATAACAAACAATTAACTGTATCTTCTGATACTGAGATGATGAGCAAATAAAACAATCTATGACTAAAAGAAACCTATATTTGTCTTTTTTTTCCGAACACATTATGTTTTTAAGAATTTATTAGTTAAATTTTATGATCAAGATTATTAGAGACACACAAAAATCGGCAGTTATACATTTTAGAGACATACGAGGATAGTGAAAATAAATAGACTTGGACGTGTGGTAGCGCAGCGCCATCTAGTTACATATCAAGCAGAGCTTGTAACACACTATATGGGTTCTAAGGAATTAATAAATACACTTTTGCAAAAAGTTTTTACATTTTACAACATATAGAAAACACTCAGGTAGGATGAAGTCAGATCAATTCATATATCAGAGATATCCAGGGGTGACCGCATGGAGATCGACCTGACAAGTAACGATCCTCTCTAAATAGAAGAATAAAAAGAACGACTGACGTTTGCTCGGCACCGGTGCTTTCTCCATCAAACTCTTTACACCCGGTTTTGGTTGATTTGCATTGGGTCTAGTAAGGTAACTCGGCGACTTGTCCTTAAATGCGGTGCCCTTAGCAGCTGTCCAAAACAAAACACCAACAGCAATTATTGTAAACAGTAGGAGCGACTGTCCCGGGAACAGGGCGGACACGATGCGCGCCAACCTCCAATATATCAAGTGCAAAAGTACGCTCCTCACAATGTCTACTCTAGGAAGACTTACTGAAATCAAAGTGTATACTTTCACTAGACAATTTATAACTTCAATACCTAAATTGGAGGAATTTATTATTAAAATATTCATTAAAATCGGCTTAATAAAGGTATGGAAGGCGACTGGGGTATGTCCAGAATCTGTGCGTAAAGATATGTGTGAGTGTATGTACATACGAGAAATTAATTAAATCACTGGTTTGTCATAAGTTTAAAAATTAAAAATGACATGTGTGAGAATACATAATTGTAGCTTTTTTAAGGAACTGATTATATCCGTATACCCCACCGTGGAAAATAATTTTAAATACTCTGTTATGTCCATGGTACTGTCCACTTTCCATCAAGTGGGCCGTCAGTTTGTTTGCCATTTTAAGTTGCATAAAAAAAGTTGGTATAATTTATTCAAAGTAGGTAGATAGGACGAGTGGCGATCTTCCACCGTACATTTTTCAAGGCACTTTCTTCCACGCACAACCATTCTTTGGAATCAACTTCCAGCAGCAGTATTTCCGAACCGATACGACAACATAACCTTCAAGAAAAGAGTAAATTCCATTTTAAAAATTCGGCAGCACACCTGCAATGCCACTGGTGATCATGGGCGGCGGTAGTCACCTACTTTACTAAAAAAATCATCATTTTAGCCATTATCCGTCCACTGCTGAGCATTGGCCTCCCCCACAGATTGCCATAAGGAACGGTCTTGAACAACCTGCCTGAGTAGGTACCTATTATACTGCGTATCAATTTGCGACATACAAAAAAAATCAATAAATTTTGTTTTAAAAATCGGATCAATGTAATTATTAATAACTATAAGTATTATACTGTATTGTAACTATAACTATAAGGAATAATAAAGTTTCTATGTTATCGTCATCATCTCAGCCATTATCCGTCCATTGCTGGGTATAACCCTCCTCCATAGACTGCCGTAAAGAATGATACTGAGCCACCTGCATTCACTGACTCGTTGCAAAGCATTTGAGGTCGTCACTCTATCTAGTGGATGGGGGTCCTCCTACACTGTGTTTGCCCGTATAGGGTCGCCACTCAAGAACCTTTCCTATCGGTTGTCAGTTCTTCGAGCTATATGACCAGCCCATTGCCACTTTAGCTTACTAACGGAGGACTGACGCAAAACTGACGGAGGCAACAAACATAAAACATAACATAACATGTATGACTGTAACTACTAATGAACTGTCAGTTTTCTCATATTGGGTTTGCTGGAAGAAATCTCTATTGGAGATAAGCTCGCCTTTGTGCACTATTATGTTTGTTTCATTTCCAGCCATTGAAAAAATAAACACCCTTAACTTAATACAATGCAAAAACCTTAAAAATTAGATAAGTAAATATAAATATAACTGGCACATACCTCTCCAGGATTTAATGGGAGATCTGCGTCGATTTACTGGACTTTTCTTATCGCTGATACCTGAAAAATAAATTATTATTTATACCATTCTTTTTTCATTTAATTATTTTCACCATAAAAAAAAATTAGCATACCAAAATCCACAGAGGTATGTCTGAGATGCAATACATTCTGTTTACTACAATTCGTGTTTCAACCGTGAAGCAGTTGTGTTTGCATGGCTGTATTTCGGTTTGAAGGGTGGGATATGGCGTGAATTTACTGAGTACAGAGGAATAACACCAGAGTCCTTAGGAATGGCAACGCATGAGGGATATCATGGGCGAAACAGTATACTCTGTTATGTCCATGGTACTGCTCATGTCTATAGGCGACGGTTACTACTTTCCATCAGGTGGGCCGTCAGCTTGTTTGCCATTCTAAGCTGTATAAAAAAAAACTTACTACATCTTACTACATATATATACACACTACTTTTTTAATTACATATTAGCACCTTAATGGCTTGATCAATCTACTATGTGGAATTTGATATCAATTTACTATATGGGAAGGAGAAGTACATAGGCTACTTTTTATTTCGGATAAAGAATATATTCTGGTCATAGAGACAAAGTCGCGGGTAAAAGTTAGTATAATGATATATATACGCGTGTTCATTTAGTAGACTGGAAGAATATATATGTTAAATTTACCCTGTATATGAATATGCAATATACCTACTACGCTACTAATTATATTTTTCCTTACTTGCGTTCACAGCTCTTGGCGTATCTCTCATGATGGTAAGCTTTTTATTGAGTGACGTCACCAAAGGTTTTCCATAACCGTTGACGGTTCCTAAAACCGTATTCTAAAATTTATATCTATTTGTACTCATTTTGGGGAACAACGCGTACGGGAATAAAACTAGTACCTATTCACCTAACTTTTTTTAAAATAGATGATAATGGAATGCTGATACCGCCTGCGCTAACGGTATACACTGACGGGGCACCAGTAAGAGATGATAAGTGGGAATGGAAAGGCAGGTCAGTTCGCACATTGTAACGAATTCAATTGTAATGAACACGATGGTTTCTAGGGAGAATAAAGAGAAGATCGACTTGCTATTGCTGCAGGGGTATTACTAGCAATCTCTATTATTAACAATCCCTTCTCACTCCCCCCCCCCCCGCCTAACTATCAATAGGTTGCAATAATAAAATAAAAATAATCCTAGTTTCAAATCCAGACAAGCAGTGTAATTGAGTAGCATGGGCGTAGGTATTTAAAGAGGCTGGATGGGACTTGACCAGCCTAGAGAATAATCTGGTGCCCACACCTAATACGTGCAAAACTTTACAAAGACATGTCTGAGAGTATATATGTGCCTTTTTTTTAAAAAGCCAGGGTCCTCTGGAACATAATCTTAAATACACCAATGCTGAATGGAACATTAAAAAAAGTTTTCTTACCATTTGAAACCTTGTCTCTGGAGGGACCACGACATTCAGTATTTATTGTTTTCGAACGACCTAAAACAAAAATAGTACATTTTGAGGACCTCTGTCTACATAATTGCATTCGAATCAACTTTGCTGTTTAAATATTTTACTGTACTAGGTGTTATCTTGCGGAAGTCCATATAATGTAATTGTAATGTATTGAATTCTATACAAATAACTAGTAAAACGTTAAAGCACAATAGAGTGGCAAACATGTTCAAATTTCACATTTTCAATACTATCTATATTGTGTAATACTCTTGTAAATTACTAAGATAAAAAGTAACTTATATTTATCTAAAATTAATATAAGTTAGGTACTTTTATTCTCAACCAACTTCTAATAAGGAAGCGGTTCATAATTCGGAGGTAGGTATTTTTTATTACTTAATAACTCTGCCTACTCTAACATACTAGTATATTAATATTGATTGGTTCCATAAAAATTTTATCTGTAAGATGAACGTACCTAGTTTAAATATGTATAAAAGGAACGCATCTCAATTGACAGATGACATTAGTTGACATGTATGTACTAGCGGATTTTCCGGTTGCTTTCCCACCTTTGTTCACTCTCTTAGAAGTTAATAAATATGTTTGCAATTAAATAAGTTTTATTCAAATATAACATTATCAAATTCGGTTCAATGGTTTAGCTTTGAAATGAAAATAACTGGTTTTGCCCCAATTGAAATAGATTATTTTTTTGTGGAAAACAATGTTATTAGTTTTTTTTTTTTTTATACAACTTAGAATGGCAAGCAAGCTGACGGCCCACCTGATGGAAAGTGGTAACCGTCGCCTATAGACATGAACAGTACCAATGGACATAACAGAGTATACAGTACAGAGTATAGTTGTTATTTGCCTTAAATTAATATAAGTGTATCAAACATTCAATTACTCAATCGTTCAGCCGTTGAATCGTGTTTATGAAACAAACATATGAAACTTACTATCTATGACATATCCTGACGGGATATTTGATGTTACTTTACTCCGATTAGAATGTTCTCTGCTCGCATTTGATGTCTTACTCGTAGTTCGACCTGCGAAATTAAAAAAAAACAATTAATTATCTCGTACAGTGTATTAAAAATACGTTATTATATAAATAAATAAATAGCCATGAAATATGTCACATTGTTGTACCATCACCATGCACCAGTCCCACAACTAAGCAGAATTTATTTTTTTTAATGAGTGATAATGGAATGGTTACTCCGCCTACGCTATCGGTATACACTGGCGGGGCCAAAAAAAAACATATTATTGTTTATTTTTGGTACCAAATAAACCAAATATGGTACCTCCTTCAGAGGGAGACTTTGTACAAAAGTCGATTGCTTGGGTACCTCTGTCCCATTCGTGTTTTAACCGTAAAGCAGTTGTTTGCATGGCTGTGTTTCGGTTTGAAGGGTTGGGATATGGCGTGAATTTACAGGGTACACAGGAATAACATCTGAGTCCTCAGGAATGGCAACGCATGGGAGGTATCATGGGCGAAACAGTGTACTCTGTTATATTCATGGTACTGCTCATATCTATAAGCGACGGTTACCACTTTCCATCAGGTGGGCCGTCAGTTTGTTTGCCATTTTAAGTCGTATTAAAAAAAAAATTGGGATTACAGTAATAAATATAAGAAGGAAGCGGTTGTTAGTAATGCGGACTGCCAGTCACATTGCTAGCAATATACCCTATCAGGTCGACCTCCACGTGGTTACCCTGGATACTATCGCGCTGAATTCCGGGTGTATTCATCACGATGGGCTAACTGACCGGTCTCTTCATCCTTACCTATCACCCCTCACTGGTGCCCCGCCAGTGTATACCGTTAGCATAGACGGGGTTACTATTCCATTATCATCGATTAAAAAAGTAATGAATATATTAAAATATTTCGTACTAGGCGTGCTCGGCTGTGTCTTCATGGGCGACGAAGAGTCGCTACGCGGCCGTCTCACTAGACCTGTGATCGCCATGCCTTTTAATTCTTGTCTTAGTCCTGTAATTAATATTATTTCCAAATATCCTACGTAAATATTAAATTAACAAGTATATAATTGATTTATGTTCGTAGACCCAAAGGTATAGAAAAGCTAGTCACTTCGGAGATTCCTAATTCAATAAGTTGTCTCCTATAAATTCTTCTTATGTCAATTGACACCTATTGTAAGGGGGGAAGGGATTGTTAGCAATGGAGTATGACAGCCCCATTGCTAACAATATGCCCTATGAACCTCCATGTGGTTCCCCCTGGAAACCATGGTGAACAGTTCTCGTTGAATTCGTCACGATGGGCTAACTGACCTGCTTCTTCCTCACCTATCATCCTTCACTGGTGTCCCGCCGGTGTATACCGATAGCGGGGGTTACTATTTCATTATCACCTATAAAAAAGACACCTATTGTACCTTTACATCACTGAGGTAACAAGCGAGCATTCGGCTCACCTGATAGTAAGTGGTTATTATGAAATGCCAAAAAAACCATAAATTATTAATATTACCTGTATTAAATTGTCCAATTTTTAGAAGAATCTAAGTGCCTAAATGAACCCCACAGACATTAGACAAACTTCCTTTCTAATATTATAAATGTGAAAGTAAATTTATTTGTTACCTTACAGCGCCTTAACGACTTAGCCAATTGCTATAAAATTTAGTATATACGTACCATACGGGATGGAGAAGGATATAGGCAACTTTTTATCTCCGTCAATAAACACAGTCAAACACAAAATCGATTGCTTGGGTACCTCTGTCCCATTCGTGTTTCAACCGTGAAGCAGTTGTGTTTGCATGGCTGTGTTTCGGTTTGAAGGGTAGGATATGGCGTGAATTTACAGGGTACAGAGGAATAACACCCGAGTCCTCGGGAATGGCAACGCATGGAGGATATCATAACAGTATACTCTGTTATGTCCATGGTACTGCTCATGTCTATAGGCGACGGTTACCACTTTCCATCAGGTGGACCGTCAACTTGTTTGCCATTCTAAGTTGTAGGTATAAAAAAAAATACATATTCCGCTTACGCGGATGAAGTCGTAGATAAAAGCTAGTATATTCATATATATAGCGTCAGGGGTTTTCTAGAAATCTGTCCGAATCTAGAATAAAGGCATACGGGTATGCGACCCCGGCCTCCCGAGCCGCTGCAGTGTCCCAGTCCTTACCGCAACTGCAGTGTACCCCCCCCCCCCTTCCTTTCTCACATAAGTCCCTTATTCCTCTCATTCACCAATTTCCTTTACGCATTTCCAACGTTCCCTTCCTTTTTTCCTCAATCCTTTCCTCCATACCGTAGGTGGCGGAAACCACCAACAAATGCATTCCCAAAGAGGGTTGACGTCAGGCAGGTGGCCGATCGTAAAACTAAAAACCAAATCTTTTTGTAATATCGATAAAATCGAAGGTAGGATAAGGGTAGGAAGATGATGATGATTCATAAATATAAATGGATCCACAATCATAGGAAAGTAAAACAGCGTACTAAACCCATAGATATGAATGAACTGAAACATCAACGTTATACCGTCAATGAAGTTCTAACTGATTCTAAGTAAAAATTTGTCACTTTACAGGAGAGCAAAAAAAAAAAAACGAATAAAATGTCTATTTCTATGTCTATTGTACGTATTGTTTTAACAAGTTTCAATATAGGGTAATATAGGGAAATAAAAATTTCTAATGAGTTCAAATGATCCCCGCACTATTCATAACAATCGAATCAAAACAAAACTGCAAAAAAAGAAAAACTTACAACTGTTAGAATTTTACTGACGATATGCTCTAATGTAAATACACTAATAAGCGCTTCAAATGAAAAAAATTCGCTGAAACCTATAAATTCAAGGAGCTCAGAAATAGTTCGTTACAACTGTATTGAATGAAGGCTGAAACAATTGTGATGATAAAACAATTAACACAACTGACTAGAAGCATTGCTCTCCCTGTAGCGCACGTGCGTACGCGGCGGCGAGGATTCCGTGCCGCGGCAAGCAGCCGCCGCCGCCCACGCGGATACTCTGCGGCATTGGACACTGCACTTTGCTGAAATACATTCCGTCTCATTCATTTTTATCTCTCTCTCTCGTCCATTTTTACGCTTAGTACCTTATGAAATAAGCAGAGACCGGGTGGAAGTGTCCAAACTTAGGAAAATATATGTAAGAGAGATTTTTTTATCTCTTTTAGTACATTACTGCAGCGGCCAGCAACTGAGGCATTGATGGACGAACTTGCAAATGTGGGCCGAGGCGTAGCCCAGGCACACATACGTGAGTCCATCAATGCCTAGTTGTGGCCAAAGCTTGTATAGTAGAAACATTAGTTTCTTTGTTTTTTTTTTTCAATAAACAGCTTTCTATTTGCAAGCCAGTTCGAAATTTAAATAAAACCTTTTATTATTTACCTCCTTGGTAGCCATGTATCGCAGTAAAAGGTAATTTCATTTTTAAATTACGGGACAGATATGAGTGTACATAGTAATTTATCTGGCCGCAAAACACGACAGATATGGATTTTCATACAACTTTTGCCGGCCGCTGCTCACATGTATCTGGACAGTACGGCAATTTTGATTTATCTCGAAGAAGATTGTCAAAATAATGCTCACATTTCCAAGCATGTTTGAGAAAAAGTTGTTTAATTTAAATAACTTGGACTTGATTATTGAATTAACTTTTGTGTGCACCCAAAAATCTGAGCAGATTTCAGCTATGCACCAAGACAGGTCTGAGAGTCTTTATACACAGACATACAGATATATAGACAGGCGCCTTTTTTAAGAGCCACACCCCAGAACCTAGCTCCCTTTCGAAAAAAATCTTAAATGTACTTGCCCATGGTTACACTGTTTTCTACTCCAGGTATAATAAAAATAAATATTTGCGAATGCAAAGGATTATAAAAAAACTACTCTTAACATCATATTACTTTATTTATGAAAGTAACAATATTTATATACAACAAAATATACTAATGTCCGCCTAATACTAAATACGTAACTACACTTCAGCAGTAAAATGGGAACATGAATGACATCAACTATATTTACATGAATATAACAATGTTTGCCATTACAATTATATCACATTGGCTTATAAATATAAGCAGTAAATGTAAGAGCGTAATTGGAAAAATATTTCCCCCACTTTTTACCAATGGTTGAAAATTCGACTTTATCGTAACTAGCGTATGATATAAATTACATTGTATATATCTAATGAAATAAATTATAAAGTAATTCGAAACGAGCATTCAATAAAATTACAGATCGATTATATGAATAGTGACAAAAAGTGAAAAATTATCAAATTTTTCTTTTTTATTTGTATTACTTTAAAAGGCATATTTACGCCAAAATATAAGACAATTTTAAAATTACATAAATAATATACATTATCCTGTATTTTTATGAAATTCAAAATAGGATGGTCAGCTACAAAAATCGAATAAAACCTATGTCCATTAGTTTCTACTTTTTTTTTATTTTACAGTACAATAGATATAGTATAATACAGATGGAATTAAAAATATCATAATTATTTCTAACTTATGCTCAACAGACTAGTCTATACAATGTTATTTATCTGTTGACTTCAGACACAAATATAGTCTTTTTATTATATTGGCCATACTGAGTTTTAAGCTGGGTACTTACTAGTACACAACACAGGCAGGGTTACCAACCTTATGTTCATCAGGATTTTTAGTAATGGGTTTTTTATAGTCTCAATATGCTATAGTCCGCACCTGAATATAGTAATATTCAGGCGCAGTTTCCCCTTGAAATCATCGTGGTTGATTCCTGACGAATTTACGTCATCATCATCGTTAACATATCGCCAGGTTATAGCAATAGCGCAGAGTTACTATTCCATTTTCGTTCCATTAAAAAAGTCAACCCTTATTTGGGACACAAATAAATCAACATAAACCAATAGAATAAACGGGGTTCTCATTCTAAAAAATCTTACTAATGAATATCAGACTCTAAATGCGACTAACTACAGCTACCGGCTGCGTGTGCGTGTAGTGTACCGGCGGGGGAGGTGGCAGGTGAAGCGGGCGGGGAGGGGCGGTCGCGATGCCGCGCGCGGTGGGCCGCCTTCAACTCCATCTCCACGCAGTGCTCGGCGAACATCAGCTGTAGTGGGGCGTACATGTGCGGCAGTAGCTCCATATCGCTCATTGTAATCTGTAAACACGATTGTGCATTAGCAACAAAGGAAATACAATCGTCGCCGCTGTTAATAAAGTTCATATTTGAATGAATGGAAATGTTTTAAAATTAGATGAAGCCTGGGCCCAGTTAATGTACACTATATATAAAGAAAAAAAAAAATGCGAAACATATTTGAATTTAACAAATAATTTCTTATTTTGTTTTATTTTTTGACACTAAATAAATACAAAATTAAATAATTGCAAACAAATTGTATTGTATTCATTGTAAATTAATATCATTTTGGAATAATGACTAATGAAGATTCTTGTTAAATACAAGGGATTTCTTTTGTTGTTTTAGTTGAAATCAAATAATGGTAATTTTTTTACTGTTCTTTTCAGTTTAAGTAATAATTTACATATTATAACAACATTTTTCAATATTTCAAATAAATTAGTTTCAATAGCTTCAGTTTATCGCTGTAATTGAACACACAGCATTTGACGTGACGTAAAAGCTAAAATGTCTTTGTTTTAATAAACCACTTATTAAAATTATTTTATTCTATTATCCGATAATCCATTTTTTTTTTCTAAAGTTTTAGAAACACTATACAATGACGACACCCTTGGTGACTCTCTAAATAAATATCATTTTGACAACCCAGTCTTAACTTTATGAATGTCACTCTAAACAAAAAACTGTTGGTATGAAATCTGCAAGCAGTTCAATTTGAAAATTTTAACCTATAACTAACTGGAACACAGGTCTTTTATGATAACTATAAAAAAACGATATTTTGGATAGGAATATATATATATACGGACAAATATATATATATATATATATATATATATATATATATATATATATATATATATATACGGACAAATCACACAGATTGAGCTAGCCCTAGTGTTATGGGATACTAACTCAACGATACTATATTTATAATAGATACATATAAAGATAAATATCCAAGACCCAGGCTAATCAGGAAAAGATCGTTTTCCATTATGACCTGGCCGGGGATCGAACCCGGGGCCTCCACGTCGCAGGCAGGCGTTTTGACCGCTGCGCCACGGAGGACGACATTATATTATTACAGGAATATATTATACATAATTATACAATACTTGAATATTTATTAATTTTATCATTCGTGTTGAGTTTTTAAGTGATACGTTACTTAACTTCATCTTACTTATATATAAATATAAGTAAGATGAAGTTAAGTAACGTATCACTTACTTATAATACTTTTAAGTAAGGCAGTGATCACTATGTGGAGCTACCTACCTGCATATTGTCGAAGGCGATGCCGACAGTGTGGTTATCGTTGAGTATGTGGTGGTTGAGGCGCGGCAGGCGCGCGTACCGCTGCGAGAAGTGCGTGAGCAGCGTGTACTTGGCACGCATGCGGCGGCCGGCCTCGATGGCCTGCGACGTCGTCGAGTGCATCTTGATACGCGCCTCCTCCGCTAGCTCGTCCTCCATCGTCGCCTCGTGGATCAGCAGCGTCGAGTCCTCGCCTGCACACAATACATGGACAATGCAATGCATTTTATTCATAACTAGTGACAAACTCAACTTTTACTCTTTTAAAATAAGGTTTCAATTTGAACGATACTTCATCTAATATATAAAATTCTTGTGTCGTGGTTTTTGTTACCAAACTCCTCTGAAACGACTATACCGATTTTTATGAAATTTTGTGTGCATATCGAGTAGGTCTGAGAATCAGCCAACATCTATTTTTCATATCCCTCAATCATAAGAGTGACCTACCCCTAATTTTGTTTTTTAATTTTTTTGACCAAAATTTTGTTTTTATTTTGTTATGATTTAGAATTGAAAAATACACATTCAAATTTTCACGCCCTGTTTTTAATCGCGATTTTTATATGCCGCAATAGGGTTGCAAGATGGCAATCGAATATAATAATTGTAGTACGAGAGATTATCATGCGTAGTTCTCGAAATAATGTATATGGTAAAACAACGTTTGCCACGGCAGCTAGCAACTTTATATAATTAGCTATGTGTAAACTTAAATCCAGTTCTTTTTTGTTTGACTCCTTTCCAATTTGGGTTTGCTGAAAGAGAACTCTATTATAGTTAAGCTCAACTTTGATATTTACTTACTTCTGTAATTTTTTTTATGTTCGATCAGTGTGTACAATAAAATATAAATAAATAAATAACTTCTGTAAATAATCCTACATACCTATCTTAACAAGTTCATCACATGGTATAGTGTCTCCGGAGTACGTGACCTTGTGTTGGCCGTCTATGTCGACAGCTACCCCGAATGCGTTGGGACAGTGGGACACGAAGCACGTCCGGATCTGCTGCACGCCGATGTTGGCCAGCACGGCTGATGTCATCTCATTGTTCCGATTTACAGCGTCTTGTATCTAAAAAAGATATTTAATTTGAAAAAATAATAATATCAAAATAAAAATAAATCCTCCTTTTCAAAACATATTTCCTTTTAAAAGTACTATCCTTCTCAGAACTTTTTTAGAATAGAAGATTTTTCCTTTAACTTTTGAGGTGTATCATGTAAATTAGTTTCTATGGCACCTATCTGTAAGTATATCCTTTCAGATAAAAAAGAATTTTCCAAATTCGTATAGAACTCACGAAGGTATGAGGTAACAAACGAAAAAGAAATAATAAAAGTACGATCTAATCGAGAACCTCCTTTTTTATAAACTGGTTGAAAATAACAATGTACACATCAGTGTACTTTATGACGGTCATGGACAGTACCATTATCATTCATATTTATAGGCGAAAAAAACTAATAAAACAAATGTATAATCACCAAGGTTTGGTTGGGTATGAGCGTGAAGTCGGGCCGTATCCGCTCGAACTGTTGATCGTACAGTGACAGCCAGGTTACGATCTGCCCAGGCGCCAGCAGGTACACCGGCTCCACCTGCTCCGTATTCACATCCTCGAACGCTTGCCTCCTTGCTTGCAGCACGCCTATCAAACCTGAGTAAAGAACATTCATGTATACTTGTTTTATCATAAACAACCGAAATATTTTTAGATAGGGGGGAAGATTTTGTTACTAATGCAGACAACCAGCCCCATTGCTAACAATATGGGTATATCAAGTTGACCTCACCGTGGTCCCGTGGTGGAATTGTTAGTAATTCAGAATACTAGTCGCATTGCTAGCAATATATGCAATTAGTTCGACCTCTATGTGGTCCCACCTGGAAACCATCGTGCTAAATTCCAGGTGTATTCATCAAGATGGGCTTACTGAATAACTTTTAGTTTGACTTATCATCCCCCACTCCCTGCCAGTGTTATACCGTTAGCGCAGGCGGGATTACCATTTAATTATCATCCATTATGAAAAAAATTTTTTATATCAGAACTTTACAGTACAGTCAGATGCTTCATTAAGGCCCTATTTCACGCAGGATCATAGGTACAAAGAACAGGACAGGACATTAAGAGAATCTCTTATATTATTCATCCAAAGGTTGCCTGGAAGAGATCGCTCTTAGTGATAAAGTCGCCCATTGTTTTCTCATTGTGATTATATTGTTTTCTCATTGTGATTATTTCTTGTAATTATTTATATTTATAATAAGTTTACTATTGTAATCTTTTGGAGGAAACAATAAAGAGTATCTATCTATCTATCTATTCAAAATTGCATATGTATATGGGAAGGTTAGGCGATTTTTATTTTGTTCGTTATAGTGGAACCCCACCTACGTTATCGATATACACTAGTGAGGTATCACTGAATAATGACAGGTGAAGATTAAGTCAGGTCAGTTGATTCATCGTGATGAATTCACCAGAAGTTAACCATGATAGTTTGCAGGGAAACCCTCCTGTCCGCATGGAGGTCTACTATCAAGTCGTGTATTACATGCAGTTTAACTAAACTTCTATTCTACTTGCTCACTTGTAATATATTCCCATATTTGTAAAACTTTGTATTTTCTCATGTAAACAAATTGTATTCCTTTGAGAAAATAAATATTTTAAACCATAATTCTGATCAACTAACCAATATATTATTTAGTCTTATAGTAATAGAAATAAAATAGCAGTAAATATTAAATATAAAAATTTAAAATTCAAAATAAACATACCAATGTGATGGTCAGCGTGTAGATGTGACACGTAAATAGCCTTCAGCGTTCTCAAGAATGCGTCGACACGCTTCGGCCCATAGAATCGAACCAGCTGGCCGTATGTGCCTTCACCGCAATCCATCAGGATTGAACGGTTCTCACTGCAAGCAAAACTCACTGTTAGCAAAATATGTATAGTATACAAAAGTATCCCTCTTAAACTTTTACTAAAGCCTGACTGCGGTTGCCAACCTGCCTGCCAAGCGTGGCAACTACTGGCAACCCCTCATTTAGGGGAGAGGCTTACAGTGTGAACAGAATAAAATAACAATATAATACCATTGTTTAATAACCTAATATATTCTACTACATTCCACAATTTTATTTAATCAGACGTTCAAGTCAAACTGTCCACTGTTGAACATAAGGCTTCCTCATAATAAGAGTTTTGCCAGTAGTTGCCACTCTTGGCAGGCGGGTTGGCAACCGCAGTTAGACTATGGTGATGTTTTAAGAGGGATGCTGCTGTCCATCCCTCTACTATTAAGTTCTCTTAGTCGCCTCTCACAACACCCACGTAAAAGGAAGGAGTGGTTCATTCACGTAGTCAACATATAACCGATCTCTATCTTTTTCAATCCTCCATTCGACGGCCGATAATAAATAAAAAAATAAACTATAAATAAATAATAAACTTTACTCAATAAGTGTTTCTTAAAATAAATTTTAAATTTATTAAAACATTTAAAATCACTCACTCAATCTGGACAACGATAGCACTGGTATTCCTCGTCTTGCTCGGTATGCAGGAGCCGGTGCCGAGGAACACCACCTTGGGGTACTCCTTCGCGTTGCCCTTGACGTATCTCATGCTGTCCACCTGCTGCCTAAAGTGCTCCAGGCTACCCACAAACCCGTCCACGTCCATTGTCTCTTGGATATAGTCCTGGATGTGCAGCTTCGGTTCCAAAGACCTGGTGGACGAGAAACAATTTGTTGAATATGAAAAGAAAAATATTTATTAAAATAAATTTCACAAATAATTTATTTTTTTTTTTGCTCACTGATCCATATTTAAAAAATATTGGGGATTATCAACCCCTTATAGACTTCCACGATACAGCAGGTCTACCATGAAATTAAATTCCGAAATTTCGGACTCAATTTCGTGTTTTTGTTTATACCAAAATCGGATCAATAAATGGAGTTTAACATTTTGTTCGTCATACACCCTATCATAAAAGTCCAAAGGAACAATATTTTAACATTTTTAATATCCCCAAACGGCATGTATTATGTAATTTTAACATCAAATTTGTGTTTCTTTGGCTCCGAAATTTCGGAAAATATTTCATGGTAGGCCCTCAGGTTCGCTTAGTGCGGGTTCCAATGTACTTGTGTTGTATATTTCTTGTGTTTAATAAATAAATATTTAAATAATAGGGATTACAATATCAAAGACGAAGGTCTTTAACCAGAGTTAGTTACCAGTGATGACCTATGGAAACAGATCACGGTCCTACACGGTAAGAGAACTGTGCTTGGAGTTTCTTTGCATGACAAAATCCAATATGAGCGTGTAAGTGGCGACCCAGTGGCGGCGCAGTATAGGATGACCCCATCTAGATGGAGCGACGACCTCAAAGACAAAGACCTCGAAGAAATGTATTGCAGGGAGTCAATGGACTCAGGACCGTTTCTTATCGCAGTTTTTTTTTTTTATACAACTTAGAATGGCAAACAAGCTGACGGCCCATCTGGTGGAAAGTGGTAACCGTCGCCTATAGACATGAGCAGTACCATGGACATAACAGAGTATACTGTTTCACCCATGATACCCCCCATGGGTTGCCATTCTATAGGGGAAACTTACGTTTAGCAATATGCAGTTAACGGTTGAGATGATAATAATGATGATTTAGACGGACAATACCAATTACCACAGTTCAAAGATTAATAATAAATGTCACTTACCTGTCGAGTGACTTCTTCGGTCTCAAGTGGAACACGGTGAGTGTGCGGCCAGCAATTATTTCTAACTTGTTGTCATCGTCGTGGCCGACGGAGTGTTCCCCGTCGCCCTTACACGAGCCCTCCATGTTTATTATATTCTGGAACTGCGCGAGGGCAATCTAAAAACATTAGTAGAAAACATGGACCCATCACCGAGCATGCAAGTGAGCTAACATTCCTCCTATAGCTTTATATATAATTACACTCCCATGGTAATCAATTACTAATTAAATTTTTATTCTTACGTATTAATATTATAAACATGAAAGCGAGTTTGTTACCTCATTACGTATTAACGGCTTTACTGATAACAATGAAATTGGGTATTACATGCAATGGAGAAGGGTATAAGACTACTTTTATCCCGGTCAAGGAACATATGCCGGTCACATGGTAGGAGGTCGCACATAAAAGCTATTGTAAAATAATTTATATCAATCAAAAAAATGTACTTATTTATTATATAAATATTGATCCACATAATAAGTACATAGAGAATATGTGTATTTCGCAAAAAAAAAACTTCAATAATGGCAAAATTGCCTATTTTGATTTAAAAACTAAATTAATAAACCAATTTTGATATAAAAATTAACTGCCAAATTGTAAAAATATCCTTTCAGATAAAAAAGAATTTTCCAATTACCGATTTAATTTTTTTATAACAGAGTTATGAGGTAACAAACATAAAAAAAAAATACAATTAAGAATCTCCTTCTTTTTAAAATCGGATGATAATGTATACAGAAGCACTTATCAACTGTTGTTATGAATATATATATTTCAAATTATTCTATACAATAATATATACTGATCCTCTACTTATAGTGCAACAAGGCGTTAAATATCAGTAATTAAAATATATAGCTTTTCCAATTTTACTTTGAAAATATTTAATATGCAAACTAAACAGAAGCATCTCGAATTTTTTAACGATCAAGCAAACAAAAAACAAATCTGTACCTTATTCTTAAGCTCCTCGAGTCCCTTCAAACGTGTGGGACTATCGGTGTTCGGTAGCGGCGGATGTGCGTTCCAGACGGCGGGCACGCTGGCATCTCGTAACAGAGGGAAGATGTCCGGGTCCAGTAGGTGCAGCTTGTGCTGAGTGCGGTGCACCGCCTCCGAGCCTAGGCACGAGTTCTGCGTGTTTAGCACTAGATGGCTCGTGGTGGGACCGAACATCGCCATGAATGCGCGGTAACTGGAATAGATAATAGTACATATTTAACTTATTTATAAAGACGTTTAATGACAAACAAACCTATTTTAGCTGTTCCGTTTATTTCCTTTGTGTTATTAATTTAAAAGGAAACAATAAAACACAACATATACAATATTTTCATTATATTTTGTGAAGTACGTAATTTAAGATGGGTAGGTGTTTTATACATCTATTTTATAGGTAGGTATATCTATAGATATAATATTAAAAAAAAATACACCACTTTCAAAATAAACGGTCCATATTAAAAAAAAAAAAAACAAAGTTATAAAAATCGGTAAACACTAATAGAATTTTTTTTAATGGGTGTTAATGGAATGGTAACCCCATCCACGCCAACTGTATACACCGGCGGGGCACCAGTGAAGAATGATAGGTGAGGATGAAGCAGGTCAGTTAGGCCATCGTGACGAATTCAACAACAATTGTTCATGAACAATTGTTGTTGAATTCGTCCATCATGATGGTTTCCAGGAGGAACCACGTAGAGGTCGACCTAATAGGACATATTGCTAGCAATGGGGTTGTCAAACTCCATTAAAAATTCAAATGTCTCTGCTCTTTTTCGAATACAAAACTCACGTGGGATGGTTGAACACGTGCGGCGGCGTGTAGTGCACGACGAGACGCGGGATATTCTCCGGCGGGTTGGTGCCGTTATCGAAATGCGCCGAGAACTCCGACTCCTTCAAGTATGACAGCTCTGGCACCTCCAACACTGCAACAAGACACAGAATCGGTAGGAAATTAAATGAAATTTATTTGCCAGAAAGATTGTAGATAAGATGTTGCATTTGTAAAGTTTACAATATGTGCATTATGTTTCGCCATATCAAATGGCATGCAAATAGTTTTTACACAGAAGTATTTACACAGCTAATAATTTCAAATTAGACGCTTTTATATGAGACCATGAGTAATTATATAGGTTTAAGAAACTGTGATTTGTGTATATTTTATTTTGTATTTACCTATTTATCACTGTATAATTAATAACTCAACTAATTGTAATATAGGTTTTATTTCAATTAAATTTTTAGAGATACGTAATGAAAATTGTGTTCCACAAAAAAAAAAAAAAACCGACTCGAAACTCTGAATCCATTTTGATAAAATTTTCTTATATCCTTTCAGTTAAAAAAAAAAAAAAAAAAGAATTTGTCAAAATGTTTTATAATTAACGAAGTTATGAGGTAACAAACAAAAAAATACAACCGAATTGAGATTAAGGGATTTTACCTTCTTCAGGTATATCAAATTGTAAATGAATTATGGTATTATTCATAGGTGTTACATTTTTTTTTTATACGTCTTAGAATGGCAAACAAGCTGACGGCCCACCTGATGGAAAGTGGTAACCGTCGCCTATAGACATGAGCAGTACCATGCACATAACAGAGTATACTGTTTCGCCCATGATACCCCCCCATGCGTTGCCATTCCTGAGGACTCAGGTATTATTCCTCTGTACCCAGTAAATTCACGCCATATTCCACCCTTCAAACCGAAACACAGCCATGCAAACACAACTGCTTCACGGTTGAAACACGAATGGGACAGAGGTACCCAAGCAATCGACTTTTATACAAAGTCTCCCTCTGGTAAATGTTACATTTGTATTGTAAGATATGACGTGCAAAAAATGTAGTTTTTTTCATAGCTAATGGAAATATGATCATCATTTGAGGTTGTCTGAAAGAAATAACACCACTATAGTTACATTAACACCTTGTGATGTGGTGATTTTTTGTTCTACATATATTATGTAATTGTACTTTTTATAAAGGGAATAATAGTTAATTTAAGCATATACAAAACAGTACCAATGAAGACAGGACCGGGGTCGTCGGGCGTCTTCACATCTTTGCTGAGCACGAGCGTGCCGTCCGGCAGCACGACGTCCTGCCCATTCTTCAGCTGACCGAGCAACGGACCCGGCTTCACGCCGAACTCCACGCACTTCGCCAGGTCCAGAGTGCCTAGACGTTTCTATATAAAAATATAAAATGCTAGTTGTAACTCACGACTTCGCCTATGTGAATCAAAGTAGAAATTAAGTATCCTGTGTGCTAAGTTAGGATATATCTATCCATGTAACAAATTTCATAAAATTACATTCAATAGCTTTTGCGTGAAAGAATAACAAATGTCCATCCATTCATACAAATTTTCGGATTTATATATTTTTTTATAACACGAGCTAAACGAGCATGCAGATCACCTGATGGTAAGTGACTACAGCCGCCCATGATCACCCACAACACCATAGGTATTGCAGATGTGCTGCCAGCAATATCAACAGAATTCATAGAATACTGTATATATACACATACACCAACCTATTACGTTTGATGATTCGACGAGTCGTGCATTTGACTATTTTTGTAGAACAGCAGCACATTGCTTTACGGAATGAGACACCGGGTTCGATTCTCTGTCGTAGGAAACGAACTTTTCTAAATAGGCTCCGGGTGTACAGGGGCTATGCCCAAAAGTGTTCTTTGCTTGGTTTCTCATAATTTTCATAATCCTAACTTGAGCACCAGACGACTGCCGCGAATGTGTGGCTTTATTATAATTATTATTAATATTGAGGTGTCAAGTTGAAGCAAACAATACACATTTGTGGAAAATCATTAAAATCAATTGACCAGTTTCTAAGCTGAGTGTACAAACACTGTGATTTAAAAAAAATTAACAACTAAACAAAATTATTTTCACGTTCTGTACCCAAACCAAAAGTCTTCATAACGCTTGATTTGTTATTTTTATACCTATGTCAAGAAAAATAATATACCTTTAAAGTACAAATATATGCAACAGAGCAGTGGCTCTTTCTCTGTACTTGTTGCAATACTTTTTCTGTTTTCTTCATCACCGCATCTAAAACAAACAATATTTGCTTTTAAGAAAACATGAAATAATTTTAAAATCAAATACCCTATCATTCAATACAGAGATACAATTAAGAAATTATTAATAAGTAAAATCAGCTTTTAAAATTCCTTAAAAAAAAAGAAAATATTACATATGTTTTAAAAATGAACATAAATTTTAACAACTAAGTTTTGTTTCACAAAAAAAGAAAAACACTGATATCAATAATGGAAAATCAAAATAATGGGTTGTTTTGATTTAAAAACTGAAATATTGAACTGATTTTGATAAAATTTATATGGGCCCTATGTGAAAGTATATCCTTTATGATAAAAAAAGAATTTTCCAAATTTCTTCATTTGGAGGTATTTTTAAAGTTCTGAAGTAACAAATATAAAAAAAAATTAAGAACATCATCCTTTTTTTGAAATGATTTTTTTAAGAAAATTTGTAATGGTTGAAAATAACATAAATACATTTACCTTTCTCTAAGTTATCTTTCACTTTGGGTTTCTCTTTTGTTCTGTTAGTTTTATCTGAATCATGGTTCTGTGTGTCATTTCTGTAGTAGTCTGTGTCATCGCGAGTAAATTCTTCAAATTCCTTGTCTGCAGATTTGTCCAGTTTGGGTTTTTTTGCTGCCGGTTTCATTTCTTTACCTAATAGACTATCATGGGGTCCTCTGTGAAAAAAAAAATGTATATTTAGGTTCCTGCATGTGACATTACATAACACTGATAAGACAATTTTCCATGTTTCTACAGATTATCATCATTATACATTTATTGTATAATTACAATACTTATAATAATTATTTTATAGTTTTTCTAAAAGATATCTCTATTTCATTATATAAAAAGACAAAAATTTCTCATCCACTTACAATAATACATATTTCACAGTCATAACATTGTCCTCGAAGTCTTCACTGGGACTGCACTTGGCCATTGTTACATTCATCTCTTTCATTATGACAAACCTTTTTGTAGCACTGTACAGTTCATCCTAAAAAAAATAAAAAATAAATTAAAATGAACAATAAAGTGCATGCCCACTTATTTTGATTTCATAATTAATATTTCAACTATGGATAAAAAAATACTTGTTATGATTTATTTACAAAAATGAAGAGTAATTTGACAACAACTCTAAAAAGCAATATTTCTGCATTGAGCCACAGTGGCTAGTGCTCCATACTACAAAATATAAATTGTAACTGAAGAATAGTAAAATGTCACTTGAAACTGTATTATTTGAACTAACAAACATAAACACCAAGCCATATTGCTCACTACTGACCAGATTCAATAACCACAGAAATAAGAATATTTCACCATGCCTTCCTAACCATGCCATTGCCAGAATCACAAATCAAAATTGGTGGCAGCCATTTAAATTGAAAAAAGAAGAAGAACTATCAAAAAAAGGGTAAAAAATATATATTAAAAAATAAAGGCTGGCTAAAGAAGATGACACCAACATAACTATAAATAAATAAAAGAGTTGATTTATTTCTGATACAGCTTTTTTCAACCAATTAAATGAAGTAATAATTTAAACAAACTTACTAATCCCTCAGGACCATGTAATGTAATGTTGGGTACACCAACATCCTGCAGTGTAAGGGACAAGCCTGGTAGCCCTCCAATGTTACGCCATGTTTTGCTGGTCACAAATACATGTTCCAGCCGTGACAGCTTCACTTTGTGCTCATGAGCAAGACGCTGGGTGCATTCACCACAGTTGAACAGGTAACTGTTGAAAAGGCACAAAAAGTAAGAATTAAGTGTTGATATTTAATTTAGATTTTTAATATAAATCTATAATCTAAGTTAAATCCAAACAAGCAAAGTTACAAATAATAGTATCTTATTGCGAAATATTACTCACTCACTCAGAAACTAATAAAGAAATAGCTGAAAAGCTGCTAGACCCATAAAGTTGAAATTTTATAGCAGATTCCTTACAATGTGTTAAGTTTATTTGAAACTGTTATTTCATATGCACAAATTTCAGAAGTAGAAAAACTAATGAAATAGACTACCATTTGATGTGACAACTACATCAAATTTAGCACAGTTGTTTTTGTGTGATACTAGAACAAATACTGTCTTAATAAGATGCTCTATAAATTCACTGCTGTAACATCCATCTAACTAAAACACAGCTAAGCATAGCTGTATGTGGGGCAATATGTTGACAGTGTAGATGGGGGTTACCATTTCATTTTCACCCATTACAAGAACACCTACTGAGCCACATTGTGTTTGACAGCAGAAGCATAAAAACAGAAGCATGGGTGTAAATAATCTTTAAATTCTTTTTCAGGTAGGTCTGTTTCAGGTCAAAAGTAACTCTGAAGCTATTTATAAAGAGTATTAATCTAAACCTTATATACAAGTTAATAAATAATAAAAGCTATAGAAATATTAACAGTATCTTCAATCATGCTATGTTGATGGATTTAAGATATTAATCTCGTTAATTAGTTAATAATAAATATTCTAGGTTTTTACAAAGTTAATGTATGATTATTGTCAATTTTCAATTAGTTTGTATTAAAAAAGGATTAAATAACTTTACCGTTTCTGGTCAGTGAAAAGGTACAGAGTATTGGGAGCACCACGGGCTCCTGACCCTATAACCTGAAGATATACTGTGCTAGGGCCATATTTTTCAGACTTTTTAGATATATGTTGTCTTTGGCGCTGAGCGTCTGATATTCTCGGAGTATTCACTTTCGGCATTTCGGCTAGAAATTCCAATAGCTTCTTAGTATTGTTTTTCTTGTAATGTCTTAAACTAATGTAACTAACTACTCGGCATCTAAGTACACTTTTACCGTACATGTGTTTTGAGGTTATATTTGTTATTAGTTAAAGTTTACGAGCATTACACTGTTATTTTAAATAAAATTATTATTTTTTTCATAAAACATAATTATTTACATAACAATTACATGTGACACATTTTCGGATTTAGAACAGATTTGATTTTTAGCAATTATTGTGCAAAAATTTAAAACAGTTTTATTTTGCTTTCATTTTTGACAGCTACAGCTGACTTCTTTTTGTTATTATAAATAATGACATTATGTCATTTAATTTTAAATGAACTTTTAATTTCATAAAAATCGTGTAATAATAAAGAAAATGTTCTTTTATTTAATTAATTAGAAAAACAATTTTCTTCTTGGGTTGAAACGAAAACTGCTATTAGATTAAAACACTGAGTATTTTAAAGTTATATCTTTGCTAGATTGAGATAATAAAAAAAAACTATATTGTTGCCATAATAGAAACTACTAGTTACGTAGTAATAATTAAACAGGAATAGTAGATTCTGGTTTATTAACGTTTGTAACATTTTCATCAAAAAATCAAAAATGGCGTTCTATACAGCTGTGGGTTGCGCAATTTAAAAGTAAATGTGCAGTAAACTCCTAAGAAATACTAATTAATAAGTTCAACAGATTTTACAGACAGTGGATATGTGATTACATGTTATTTTAGTGTAAATAGTTTCTTTAGTGGTTTAGTCTTTTTCAACAAAGTGTAAACCTGTCGTGGACCGTGTATTTTTTGTGTTTTGGTGATGTATAAAAATTATAAATAATGAAACGGAAAATAATGCAGCTGGGCAAATAATGTAATAATGATGGGTATATTATGGGTGGTGCTATTCGTGGCCCTGACCGGCACACATTTTGGACACGGATTACCCGTGGGACCGACACCGCAGACTTACCTTCACGGTGAGTCATTTTGTTTTGAAAATACTTATGTTTTTCCTAAGAAAGTTAGAAAGAAACATTAGATTATATAAATTACCATTCCACTGTCAGATAAAATAAAATTTACTTTGTTTTTATTCTTTTATTCGCTCCAATCAACACCCGCAGCCAGTTAAATAACTCATATTCTCGAACTGATTGCAAAATTGAAAATATTGTAGGTAAAAGAAAAATTAAATAGAAAATTTCAAATAGCTTTCAAAGTATAACGGAAATATCAGCTTTTAAAACTTATATACCTACTTTGTTATTTGTTTACAAAATTTTGAAAACCTTAGCAAATTGTCCATTCATATATATTATTCAGTTTTCTCTAAATGTACATATAAATTTGGATTTTCTTATTTGAATAAACATTACTTATTTTTTTCTAAATTTTAATTAATTAAAAAAAATTAATTTATAAATATAATGCCATTATTTAAATACATAGTGAATCAAATACTTTTAATCTAAATATATATTTTAATTTAAATTAGTGCCTATTATTAAAATTAATTGGAAACTTCATTATTTATGTTAATTTTTATAAACATGTTATACAACAAACATTTATTGTTACATATTTTTAAAGAGTTTATTTTAAATTTCATTACATACATGTTCACTATGTTCTAAATTAGATTGACATAACTTTAATATTCATGTTAATTCATGTCTATATTAACATGCAACATAAACATATAGAGAGAGAGAGAGATTTTATTTACAACTTAAAAGCAGTAAAAAAGTAAATATACTTTTTATATATGAGTATACATCTATATATATATATTTGTCTTTTTAAAATTGGTCATTTAAAATAACAAAAAAACACCTCTTCATTCTAGTTATTTGTTTATTTTAAACATTGTTATTTTGAAAAGGAAGCAAACCAATTGTCTATGCCAAATATAAAAAAGACAGCTAACTAATTAATTAATGAATCATCATGTTGTGTCATTAATACTTATTGCTTACTAGCTTTTTGCCCACTACTTTGTATACATGGATTTCAGAATTAGAAAACCAATGAAATAGACAACTTTTAACTACAAATTGACAGGCAGATAGTTAAAATTTCTAAAAATTTTTAAGAGAAAGAGATTAATTTTTCTAAAGTGTCTCCCATATATAGATATCATCTAGTTATAATTTTATTATATTAGTAAGATCTTGAAATACAATTTTACTTAGTTAATTTCTTTGTTAATTACATTTCCATGAGAAGAGTAATATGGCAACAGGTTGTACAATTTTTGCTATAAAAGAAGCATAAGGTGTAATCAAACATACAAAAGGACAATAACCTATTATTGGCATATTTAAGATTATTTTCTAGGGTGAGCCAGACTCCCAAAAAAATGTGTATTATATACTCTTAACCATATCTTTGTGCATAGCATAGGAAACTCCACTCACATCCTGAGGTGAGCATTGCCATTTTTTTTTATACCACAAAAGTGACAAACCACAAACATGCGCTATACTGGCCAGATGGCTGGATCTGGGGTTTTATTATGAATTTTCATTCTCTTGCACTGATGTATGGTAATTTGTTTTACACCATCAAGTAGGGGCATATAACAGCTAATAAAGTTCTAATGTGTCTCTAGATGAAAATTCGCCATCTGTACTGGAGAGCTGGGGCTCAGGTGGTGGAGTGTATGCTGCGGTGCCGGCACTGGCGCTGATGCTCACCGCTGTTGGTTTACTCTTTGGGTGCACATGGTGTTACAGGCATAAAGACTGCAAGGTAAGTTGTATACTAGATAAAATATGCCTCATAATCAGTCTCGCAATGTATACTGAAATAATCATAAATTTATTTTATTTTATATTTATTTACCAATGTACATATATAATGATTTTTATCTACCGTGAAGTTTGTCAGAACACTACATCAAAATTACAAAATAATTGCTGTCAGTCATTCAGACACTGTCGTAGTGTTTGTGACAAACGAAATATCACTTATCTGTATATGGAAATTATTTCAGAATGAACATATTTCATCATAGCTATACACTTAAATTCAATTGGAAAAACTTAAACTATGTTTCATAGTAATACCCTTTTTAACAAACAATTCGGGCATTTTAGAATAGTCATACATGAGATTGTAGTTATTCCAGCCAGATCTGAGGAGAGCTTGATAATCTTAGAAACTTTTACTGTTGATAGTCCATTTAAGGCATAGGATCAACATTATGGTATCTATAAATAAAATATTGTATGGTGTATATATATACATATAACAGGAATTTTATGAATTTACAAATATCTGAAATGACAAGCAGTAAGTTCTTGAAATTCCCATTATACATATAATATATAAATCATTAAAAAAATTAACATAAGTTATAAAAATAATATTGTAAGGTATTCATCTAATAGCCACATGTAAAAATAATTATATCAGCACACTAAATTGTTGATAGACTCCGATTGGCGTCACAAACATGACAAGGTACTCCATATTTGCATTCACATTTCCCCTGTCATCCTGTCGTCTTGTTCACTCACTCGCCTCCTACACTTTGTTTTCTTTTTATAATTTATAAGCCAAATTTATTTATACATACGCCACACTGTAAATGCCAATTTATATGCATTGTATTACAAGTAATTTACATAATATAGTTATACCACGCTTCGATATCCCTGTACAACTACCAATATGTATACAGGTGCTTTAACTTCCATACATCTATTTATACTGATATTATAAAGAGGAAAGATTTGACTATTTTGTGTTTTTTTTTTTTTTATTGGATGAAAATGCAATGGTAACCCCGCCTGCGCTAACGGGATACGCTGGCGGGGCACCAGTGAAGGGTGATCGATGAGAATGAAAACAGGCCAGTTAGCCCATCATGATGAATTCATCTGGAATTAATCATGATAGTTTCCAGGGAGAACCGCGAGGAGCTCGACCTGGTTGGGTATATTGCTAGCAATGGGATTCTTAGTCTCCATTACTGACAATCCCTTTCCCCCCGACTATTTTGTATGTTTGTTTGTAAAGGCTCAACTCAAAAACTGCTCATCTATTTTAAAAATCCTTTCATGTATAAAAAAAACCTCCATTATCAACGCGCAACATACGACTTTAAAAAAATAGAGATCTTTACGAATATTTAAAATATTGTATTATAATCTGAAGTATCAAAAATTTGCCTATTTAGAACTTATTATAATTATATTAATTTGTTTTTCTATCTATCTACCCGGGAACTAGGGCGGATCGCTTGAACTGTAAACTAAAACTGTATCCACAAGCCAGTAGATAAGTAAACATCATTGTTTAGTCCAGGAAGGAGTGGCCCATTTTGTTTGGTTCTAAAGATTGCCTTAACTGCATAAACAACATGTTTTTAGACGCCTTCAAGAAGGATTAAGTTCTGAATTTGCCAGTGTTTTTTATTGTTTATGTTTTCGCGATATTTTTAACATTTTCGAGCTGTCTTCTTTGATATTTGTTTTTGTAATTAATAATTATTTGTTCTCACGTTATTCCCATATTAATTTTATCACGATTGCTAGCTTATTAAGCGTACATAGACATACATTAATGCTGCCAACAAGATTAAAATCTATACAATTCTCATAAATAAAATGTGAGAGTAAATTAATTCTATTTGTGCCTACTCTCATAATAATTATTACACGCAATAATGTGGTATATTATTTACAGACTTTCACTTTCGTTTCATACATCAATTCTCATCATATGTCATAAGTATAAATATCTAGCTGAGTGACAGAAGTTATCCATTAAATTTTTTTATTTTTTTGTTTCCCTAAAAACCTTAATCGGATTACGGTAACCACTTACCATCAGGTGGGCCGTATGCTCGTTTACCACCTCAGTGGTATAAAAAAATACAAATATATAATTTAATAATTAAGATTGTGTTCCACAAAAGACTTCAATTATGGCAAAACTAGTTATTTTGATTTAAAAACTGAATTGGTTTTGGAATTTCTATAGGACTAACCTATAAATATATTCTTTTAGAAAAAAAAAATAATTTTCAAAATGGATTTAATACTGACTGAGTTATGAGGTAACAAACATAAAAAATATATAATATAATTAAATTGAGAACCTTCTTCTTATTAATTCGCTTGAAAAATTAGTCAATTCAATTCAAATCTCAATCATTATTTTAATAAGAAATGATTATATGTTCATGATTGTAGAAGGTAGCGCTAATGACAACTAAAAATTTAATAGTGTAAAATAGTTAATATATATTATAATTAAAAGTACTTGGGCAGAAATTATCGAGACATTTTCGGGTTTTTAAAATTCTAAGAAATAATGTAGAAAATATAAGAATTTTGCAAGCACTGTCAGTGATTATTTTAAAATAAATAATTATTTATTAAACACGTATATATGTCTAATAAATAAGTAGGTACTATATATTTAACTGTACTTAGCTTACTTTTAATTATGACAATTAAACAATAATTAGAGCAGATGCAATCTAATATAATAAGTCATAATTAAATTAATCAAATAACACACATATTAATAGTGTTAGTCTTTAATGATGTTTTTATAATTAACATATTTCGTAAACCACCTTCCTCGGTGTCTATGTCATTTTGTCATTTTATCGAAATAACAATGCATATATTTTGTTTTGAAAAAAAAAACAAGTCTACAGTTGTGAACACATGTCTATGAATAACGAGTTGTGAAATGAAATATTTGAATTTAGAAGGCGGACTCGTGTTCACAAAAAAAACATTGTTCCCCAAATAAAAATGGCACCTTTAATCGTTACAAAATTAATATATCACCAACACGGGAGTAAACCCTATAAATTGCGAAAATCAGTTCAGAATTGATTACGTAATTTCGTAACATAAGCATAAAGAATACATACTAATTGAATTGAGAACAAACTCTTTTTGAAAGTCACTTAAAAATTCATCTTAACTTTTAGACTTTCGCGTTGCATGATTTATCGTTTACAAGAGACGGAAATTAACGCTATCATTTAGGTAAAATTAATTAGTATAATTCACGGCTCGTATCTTACTAATATTATAAATGTGAAAGTGAGTTTGTTTGTTACCTCTTAGCACTTTATCGGTTTATCAAATTGCTATGAAAAGTGTAAACTTAGTATTTGCGATGGTGAAGAACATTGGCTGCTATTTATCGTGATTAGTTAACCTATCACGGTCAATATCATATCCTGATTAGGTGAAGTCATTGATAAACTAGACTAGTAAAACCATAAACTTCACGTTAACTATTAAATTGCTAAAATCCTACAATTGTTAAAAGTAAGTTGATAGTAAACTAAAAATCATATTTCGCAACGTTGTATACCAATATTTATTTATTATTACGTATTTAGGTCAATGAACACATCAGTTTCTCTTTCAGTGATCAATTTTATTAGTGATAGCTACTAGTCACTAAGTTTTTCGTTAACACTCGACTGCTAGGTGTCTGTAGCAAGCCATTAATTCGTCGAATTGACGGTGGCTACTGATACTGTGCATTCAAAAGTTACACGTTTTATCCGCGAATAATGAAACTTCCCGACCATTAATTTTGGAAAGATAAAATGGGGTTGGTATTCGGTGAAAACTTACTACTTTATAGGGAGGGTGTAGTTTATATAAATCTCTCGTCAATTTATTATTTTCCTCCTATCTCACATAAAAATAAATGCATGGAAAACACCAGTAATAAAGCTTAACCGCCTTATTCATAAAAACTACCTACAAATCTATTTTAACTATTACAGTATTTTGTAATTGTCTTTCAAATTGAAAAAAATAATACAAAAGAAAAGAACACAACACTTCAAATTTATGAGAACTTTGACGTTCTTATGATAAGCAAGGAATTATATAATGGAATTAAAAAAAATTATACATCAACACCTTAAATAATATAAATTTAATTATTTCAAAACTTCACAGGTTAAACTCACGTGCGTTTCCCAATTAAAAAACCACCTCACGTTGTGACTAATGGACGTTCCCTTTATGTCAACTACATACTTGCAAAAACACGTGTGCTTTGTTGTAATTAAATGTGTATCTATCCTGCAAAAATATCTCTCTTGCAGTCAAAACTACAATTGACTAGCAAAATCAGTCAAAAGTACTTTTAACCGTATGTTTTAGTCAATAATACTTTTGACTAAAATAACAGTTAAAAGTACCTAACCTAACCACAAATTTGCAGTTAAAAGAACCTAATAGCCAATAATTTTCAATAAAAACTAACTTGTTCAGTCATTTCAGTTAAATATTTTTAACTGGTTAAGAGTTTTGACTACAACATATCTATTTCCCTCTCCTGTGTAGGCCATTGTTAGGAATATTTCAAAAACGATCTGTACGGTTCCATAAATGAAAAGAAAACGGTTTGTTTTTTTTTTATACAACAAGCGTTACAATCAACCGTAGTTCCGCCTGATTACAAGTAGTCACCACTGCCCTTGGATGCTTGCATCACCAGTAGCATCATTCACGCATTGCCGAACTCTTGTGACATGATGATCTCGTCTCACTTGACTCGCGGCAACTACTCAGTAATTTTGATGCCATAAATGACACGCTTCTAATTGGAATTCAGGATGTGAATACTTGGCGAAAGAAGTATCATCCTGAAGACCTTGTACCTAGTCCCTCCGGTAAAAAAAAAAAAAAAAAAAACATTAAATGAATCATCTCGCTACTACAAACAACAAGTCCCATACATTATACAGAAATGAT